TATCAGGAAAATCTGGTAGTTCCCTATAAGTATGTGCAGATATTCAATCAAATGTGATTTAGCTGAAGGCTAATTATCAAGAAGTTAACTTTTCCCCTTTACGCAGGAACTCCCAGAAAAAGGCCCATGTGTACGGCTTTACCTTCTCCTTCTCCCAGGCTATGATCTACTTTGCCTATGCAGCTTGTTTCCGTTTTGGAGCCTGGCTCATCATTGAAGGAAGGATGGATGTGGAGGGAGTATTCCTGTGAGTATTGTCCTATCTTCTGGGCAGATGTTCAGCAGTCGGTTTAGGATCAGAAAAATGGAAACCTGATAACATCTCAGGTAAACATTCTTGCCCTCACTAGAGAACTTTTTATTGCGTTAATGATTACACCTGTTCATGTGGTGATTCACTCTACATACAAGCATGTGTTGGGATCATACAGTTATTCAATAATTTACTGCAAGAAATAGTTATGGCTCCCATTTATATTGTACCTGTTATCTTAAGCAGAGTCTGAAGTCCACAGAACAGTCTGAACACATAGAACTGCATAAATATTCCCTCCTATTGCTTTGGCACCTCTGAAGCAAACATGGAGATTATAAAAAACAAAACAGCTTTTTAGAAAACTTTTTGAGTGAGAAGATGCATGTAGCTAAAATAAGGCCCTTGTATTTGCTATTTTCTTTAAAGATATGATTTATTACTTTGTGAATAATACTAAATAAATATGACTAAACTTTTTTGTTTGAGTTAAGCAGTGTTTATCAAAAATATTAGATTTGGCAAAACTATGATAAATTTTAATATCAAAGGCTGCCAGTGCTATGCTTTCAAAGATTTTGCAAAGCATGGTTAAGGGAGGAGAGTGGTTCTGTGTCCCACAGGGAGACACTCTGCAAGGAAGATGTTCTAAAAGTCCTGTAGTTTCCGCACTATAAGGCGCACCTAAAAGCCTTCAATTTCTCAAAAACCATCAGCTGCCTTATAATTCCAGTGCGCCCTATGTACAAATCAAGATTAAGCTTCTTCAGGTCTGGTAACTGACGTCTCCATTCTCTCCAGTAGAAGTAGCAGCACCTGGCGCATACTTGGATTTTTCATTTTAATTTGTATTTTGTTAAGACCCCCTAATGGCTCCTTTCAAGAGATAGGCGTATGACGTAGAGTTTAGACTCAGTGCTATCAGTTGCCCAGTAAAACATGGTATCAGAGCAGAAGCTTCAGAATTAAACATTAATGAATCAATGGTGCAGAAGTGGAGGAAGCAAGAAGATGATCTGTGCCAAGAAAAGAAGACTAAACAGAGTTTCCGAAGGAACAAAGCTGGATGGATACAGTTAGAGGACAAAATCGAACAGTGGGTTATTGAACAGAGCAGCAAGTAGAAGTGTCTCAACAGTCACTATTTAGCACGCAAACTTAGCAAAGACTTTAAGAGGCGGTCCTTCTTGGTGCTTGCGGTTTATGAAACGACATAATCTCTTTTTCGAACGAAAGAATCTCTTTTTCAAGAGAGACCTGGCCAAGGTAGCAGCCAAACCACAGGAAGTTCATACATATTTACAACATATATGAAAAAAAAAAGTCAAAATAGGTAATTCATTAAAGGTGTGCGAAATAATGCAGATAATACGGGAGCAATAAAAAGCCTGATTAGTTTGCTAATAAAGGGTTTCCCAAATATTTCAGCCTTTGAATCCCAAAAGACTGGCTAACCCCTAAAAATATATGTAATTACTTCAATCTATATATAAATATAAAGTAGAGTAATTATGTTACTAAAAAAGAAATTACTTTGGATTCTTCATTATTTTATGTGTTTTTAATATAATGATACATTTAATTATTTGATTGTGCATTTTGCAATTTAATGGCATAAATATTTGAACCACATATTAGGAAAATAAAATAAATACTACATCCTATTCACCAGGAAAAGTTTTAGAGGTGTGGGACCTTTTTGGGACCTCTGATAAACTGCTAATACGGCTAAACTTAGTTTTGCCCATCAGAAATCTTATAAGTATTTGTTTGTTTTTTCTGTCAGTGTGATTTCTGCCGTTCTGTTCGGAGCCATGGCGGTCGGAGAAGCCAACTCCTTTGCTCCAAACTACGCCAAGGCCAAAATGTCTGCTTCCCACCTCCTGATGCTCTTGAACAAAGAGCCAGAGATCGACAACCTTTCAGAGCAGGGAGAGTCACCGGTATGGCACCAAGCAACACTCACCTTCTACACTGTACAGGAAGGTCTTTCTGCAAAGTCATTGTTATGCAACACCTCTTTCTGATCTAAAGGATACATTTGAGGGTAACGTGACCTTCGATAAGGTGAAGTTTAACTATCCTACAAGGCCAGACGTGCCCGTCCTACAAGGCCTGAATCTGAGTGTGAAGAAAGGAGAGACTCTGGCCCTTGTTGGGAGCAGCGGCTGTGGAAAGAGCACCACCATCCAGCTGCTGGAGAGGTTCTACGACCCCAGAGAGGGCCGAGTGGTAAGGAGGAGGAACACACACCTCAATATGAGAGCTCCCTGCCCTTCCAGTCTGATAGTTAATGTTTGACTGAACCATAAACAACAGTTCATGGCGCATAAAGACATCGCAGAGTTAATTCACCAGGCAAACTTTGATCTAGGATTTAAACCATTTATTGAAGCTCAGGGAGAGAGAGAGCATTTATTATTATCTTCTGGTGTCTGGCTTTATCACAAACCTTAATATGAAGCTTTCTTTTCTCTGTTTATAATAAAAATAATCTAAAATAAAATATAAATGTACACAAGCTGTTTAAATTATACAACCTCATCCCTTTTAGTTGTGTATAAGGAATTTGTATTACTATAATTATATTGGTTGTTGACATTTTGTATAAATATAAAGTTTGAAGTCTTAAAATGTTTGAAAGTTACAGGGACCTCTTCAGAGGAAAACCAATAATGCTGAAAATTTATTTAAGGCATCAGTTTTAACCACAAGTACTAGTTTGTGTGTAGGTAATGAGCCAAAGGTTAAAATAGATATACAATCAAAATAGAAATTCCCAGGATCTGAACTACATGCTTAACATCACATAAACAAATGAACAAGCAGATTACAGTATAGCAGTCATTCTTATATTCCCCCTTAACAATAGGCAAACTAATCTGATATCAGAAAACATTTTGGAAAGTTCAACTCTATATCACACTTTTTTCTTCAATCATTCATGATGAATTTATCCAGGAACCATGAAATAGACAAAACCTTTAAAAAAAAGTTTATTTTTAATTTAAAAGTAGTTGCTAATTAGACCCACATTTTGGTCTGATGGCAATAGGACTTAATTTAGGTCAAATGAGGTTGTAACGGTGGTCATATTTAGATTTTTATAGCCACTTCATTGGTTAAATATATTGGTTAAAAAAATATACATATAACTGAAATAATAAGAGAATGTCCAGGTAGTTTGGAAGAGAAATAATATCTTTCTAAAAGCACTTTGGTTTTAGCCCAAAGTCCCATATAAAAATAAACATCTTCTGGTGTTTCTTTTTTTCCTTTCTTTCTTTTAGCCATTTATAAATTCTGAAGCCACAGGTTCCCTAATGATGTAGCTGCCTTTGAGAGTGGGTGGAAAAACGTATATTTGTCCATGCAAACTAAAAACAGATAATTGCACATGTATTTATTATGGTAAATTTAATCTGTTTTGTACGTCATTTCACCGTTGTGTAATTTGTTTTTAAATTCACAGTAAAATGTTTATCTTACTGTATATTTATTAAACTAAAAGGAAGGTCCAGCTGAATATAAAGCTCAGTGCAGCAGAATAATCTCATAAGTGGATGTTTTAAAACAATCAAAATATCAATTCTAGTATGTTTGGTTTATTAAGTGGGATTTAAAACCTCTACAGCAGCGGCCCTCAACCACCAGGCCGCGGACCGGTACCGGGCCGCACAGAATAATTTATCGACGATCAGAGTCTGAGTGATGTTTTATTTTGAAAAATATAAAAAAATTGTGGTATTCTCTCCCAATTACATCAGTACCCCCTGACACAGGTTAAGACTCATCCTATCTATAACATCCTATCTTTGTGAAGCGGGATTTTCTGCGGTTAGAGCGACCAAAACAATGCTATGGAGCAGACTGGAAATCCAGAGCACACTTCGTGTGTCATTGTCTCCGATTACGCCTCGATGGGACCGGCTTGTTTTATTTATATGCTGTTTGTATTTGATTTTATGCCAGTCGTATCATTTTACTTTATCGTATTTACCCGCCCGGCCGGTCCGCGCGGGGGGTGGGGGCTGATTTGAATACGATCAAGTAAAAAACGGTCCATCCCCCGCCCCCCCCCCAGCCGGTCTGCCCCCCCCCCCCTTGGTCTGCGAAAATATTGTCTGACATATAGCGGTCCGTGGTGCAAAAAAGGTTGGGGACCGCTGCTCTACAGAATACCTTTCTGTCATGGCTCTTTTTACCAGATGTTCATGAATACATCTTCAATAACATTTAACAAACTTAAAGCACACAGAGCTCTCTGATCATTCTTTGCTTATTCTCAAAAGACTAGATCGTCCATTCTTATGGTGTGTTCAGACCACACACTGTGGCTACTGTGAGAGTGATGGGTGTTAAAGTGGCCAGCGGTGAACTCCACTGGCTAAGGGTGTTCACTGCTCAATATATTCACTATCAGAACAGGAATGCCATGTGATGTTATTCAATAAGTTTATATCAAGAGACTGGCACAGCACAAGCATCTGCTTGTACAAATAAAGAAGCAGTGACAAAGTAGGCTAGATAATTTTTATTCAATTCGGTGCTTAATGGGGGATAATTCACCTCTGGGTGACCTAAAGAATTATCTTTAATATATCTGCAACAACAGTAGCACATAGGATCTCTCTCTCTTTTTTTTTTTTGTTCATTTTTACAAATGATGATTTTAAATGCTAGAACTTGCACTAATGAAGCACTTCCAATTCTGTCAATTTCCTGAGTTTTTTCATGTCAGTGGGGATTCAGTTTCACGCAGCTGAAGCTCCTCCTATATGATGATGCAGTACAGGGTGAGACGGTGACTGAGACGAAGACGGTGATAGATGTGTGTCGAATTTGAGTCTGTTTAGCTATTCCTGTAATGATTTGGCCAAATGTTGTGGATCATTAGTCTACTGAAAGCTATGCTGAGAGGTTTTAATTGGTAGAGTCAAAGTCAGCAAAGTTCAACTGCATCACTACTCACTGCCACAGGGCGGTGCTGAACGCACTAAATGTGAACTGGAGTTTTATGTCCCACACATTGACGATGCCTCGGTTGGCCCAACTTTGCCCTCAGGAGGACTCAGACCATCCGACCTTTGGGCAGGTAGCCCCACTCAAGGGTTTAAAGCACCGCCGTGGTAAGACCACAGTCTCTTTACCACCTTCTAAGAGAAAGAGGACCAATCTTTGAGGGTTCAGAGAATATCTACTGAATTGGCTGAGATGAGGTCGGATATGAGGTCTGATGCTTCACTCCCAACAACTGGGCTCTCCTCTTCTCCCATGCCGGGCTTGTTCGCAGAGGAAGATATTTTTTCTCTTGCTGAATCTGCCTCTCACTTTAGAAATGACGACTATTATCGGGAAGAGGCACTCCTCTCAAGCATCGAGACTCGCTCTTTTTCATCCTAGACCACAGTTGGCGAGACTGGTGACAACTATGCAGGATATCATGTGTATGGCCTTGAGGCAACTGCAGCTGGAACTTCCGCAAGAAGAGGCCGCTGCTTTTGGTAGTGCTTTTTTCATCTGTCCACTTATGGCGTGGTTCTGGCTGCCATGCATGGGTCAGCCAAGGCTGGCCTAGATCATATGCCAGCAGTTGAACCTGCTGTTGCCTAATAAATTATGTCCGAAGAGTCCCTGCACTGTGTTTGATGCCCACAAACTCGATGCCGGGTCAACGATGACCACCTCAGTAAGTCATATAATGTAGGAGCATGTGCTGGTTTCCTTGGGAACTAATTGGCAAACTTCTTGTTTGCCCCCTCTGCATTGCTTCAGCATGCTGTTGTTGCAACTTCGGCTGGGGATTTGTTGACGCATTATCGGAGGCCTTTGAGCTGATTACCAAAAAGCATGGCCGTGTCATGTTTTTTCTCATCCAAGCTCTTCTGCAGGTCTGGCTGGCACAGTCTCCCTCTGCATGCCGTAGAGCCCTCAGAGGTGTCCCAGTTGTGCCAGAGGAGCTGTTTGGAGCTCCTCTGGAGGCACTTGAACTGACCTTTCATGCTCGTCAGACTAGCCAGCAGCTTTCCGGCCTCCGAAGGAGTATGCCTCATCTAACCCCCAGCAATCACTGTGTCTCTATTGGACCCTATGGTGTGTTGCAAGGAGGTGGTCCCCGCAGAGGTTAGTCGCAGGGGCTGGGGCGCTGTGTGGCAACGGAGAGCGGTTTGCACATTTGGGGTCAACGGCAGCGCAACAAACATAAATGTTCTGGAGCTACGTACTGTGTTCATTGCTCTCAGGTGCTTTCTGCCCTACCTACAGGGGAAGCATGTACTGGTTTGGACAGACAACATCTGTGGTTTACCACTCGAGTGCAACACAACAATAGATTGCTTATATTTTCTCAGTGGTGCTCGGCCCGCAATGAGGTACCAGTTTCCTGCCCAGTGCCTACTGTTCAAGAGTTTGTCCGGTCTCTGCTTGATAGGGGTTGTTCTCCTTCGGCCCTTAAGGTATATGTGGCAGCACTCTTTCATCATCCAACTGTTGATGACCATCCGGAGGGCCAGAGTCTGGTCTCTCTTTTTCTGTGAGGTGCTTATAGGTTGTGCATGCTGCTCTCTCCTCAAGTGCTTGACTGGGATCTTCCTTTGGTTTTCAACACTTTGTGCTGTTCACCTTTCAAGCCCTTGGTGCAGTGGAGCTCAAGTGGCCTTTTTGTTAGCCATTGTCTCAGCTAAGAGGGCTTTGGATCTACATGACTTTTCTGTCAGTCCCTCATGTCGTGTCATCTTGTTACCTTTTGGCCCAACTGTGCGTTTGTGTCAAAGTATTGCCCTATTCACATTTTAAACAGCCATTGAGGTTGGCCAAGTTTCAAACACAGTCTGGTACGACTCAGGAAGGGTCTGAGTTGTTGTGCCCTGTACCGGCACTGGAGGCATAATATATTGCTGCACAGACCAGCTTTTTGTGTGCTATGGAGGTTCCAAATGGGGCCGTTCTAAACCTAAACATCGCTCCCACTGGCCTGTGGATGTCATCTACAACACCTACAGTGCAGTGCGCTGCCCACTGCCCATCAGTGTGAAGGCCCACTCTACCAGGAGCATCTCTGCTTCCTTCGCTGGCATGAGGGGGGTTTTGCTGGAAGCCATAATTGCATATTCACCAGGTTGTACAATGTCAATGTGGCTGCTCCTCATCCCTTGTGCCAACTTCTTTTACGATGTTCGGCTGGGCCCTCTCAGTGAGGTATGCGCTCAGGATTCCTCGTGACATTGTTGGTATTAGTTATTCAGTGCTCTCACCACCACCCTCTGGCAATCAGTAGGGATGAAATGGAACAAAAGTTACGAATGTAACTACGGTTCTATGAATCCCTATTGACTTCCAGAGATTTTCTGTCACTCAGAATCCTTGCTTCCGCAAAAAGATTATGTAGGAACAGAGCCCTGGATGATGCCAGAATATATAACTTCTGAGTGGTGATCCAGGGTGTCACAAGTGTGACTTTGTTCCTAGAGTTATTTGAACTGCGCATGGGCGAAGGGAAAATTCAGTGCTTTCAGCACCACCCTCTAGTGGTCATCCAGGAATCATAGACATTTATTTATATTCATAACTTTTGCTTTAAATTGAACCTTGTGATGATGCTATATACTCTAACAAGATTCCCAGGAGTTTTAGCCTCAGTTTGATCACTTAATTTGGGACATGCTTTATCCTCCAGGTGATGGACAGCATTGATGTGAAACAGCTGAACATCCACTGGCTCAGATCTCAGATTGGCATCGTGTCCCAGGAACCGGTGCTCTTCGACTGCACTCTGGCGGAAAACATCGCCTATGGCGACAACAGCCGCAAGGTGACCATAGAGGAGATTGAGGCAGCCGCCAAATCTGCCAACATTCACAGCTTTATAGATGAATTGCCTCAGGTAAATGCACACACATCACACAGAACATCAAGGTTATTATCCCTTTATATGTCCTCTATTTTAGGTCAGGTTTATCTCCTGCAGCAAATGTTGGAGTACATTCTTTGTTTAGCTTGTTGAGTAATAAAGGTGAGGTACCTAATGTAGGATCATGACACCAAAAATCTCCTTTTTTATAATTTTTTCCCCTATTCATTTTTTTTCCTGGTGATAAATAAAACATTTTGTGTGTTTTGAAAATAATTTAATCGGCTTGAAACGAAATTGTGTATGCAGCAAAATTTCAGTATTTATCACCAGAAAGAATCAACACTTCTGATAAACCAAAGCAGTTCATAGTAAAACCGTGTTTACCAACTTATTCTTACCACCCATGATGTTATTACATAACATTGTTTAAAGTTGATTAAATATTTAAATAAAGTTGATTTTATATTTTGATGTGATGCTGTATTCATGCAGGACTTGAATCCAGGTTTCATCTTGAATTGAATATTTACAAGTGAACAGTTATATTCAATAGATTACAATATTATTGAAAAGCATAATTTCCCTAACTCAATGGAGTCAGTAAAACCAATTATTTAAATTATGTTTTCAAGCCTTTTATTTCTGTTAAATATGATTTCATGTTAAAGCTGAAGTCTGTAAGTTTTGAAAAATCACTTTTTTGTCATATTGGCTAAAACTGTCCCCATGCCCAGACAGCAGTACATGTGATATGTAACCTGTGAAAAAACTGCTTCAATTGGTCCCGCATACTGCCTGTATTTCAATCTGGAAAGAATAATTCGGGAAGAGTCAAAACAACCAATCACAGCCAGAGGAGCGTCTGATGGAGTGTCAATCACAGCTCACACACGCTGAATTTTGAAACAACTTCAAACAATAGACTCTTGATAGCTTTTCTCAGATTTTTTTACCTGAAAATTTTAAGGCTGCAAGAAAATGTCTGAGGTAATCTTAAGCAGTTTTATCAAGCGCTTATCTTTATGAGGTTTAAAAGGTCTTTGGTCATCCAGATAAAATGTCTGTGATGACTCGCAACTTTCAAAAGTAATGGTTTATGCTTTAACTACACTTAACCATGTATGACTTATGCAGTTTTGATCATATCTTCTCAGATTCAAAAATATCTTAACATTTTTTATAGGTATTCTAAACTTTAATATTTATACTCATTGAGCTCACCTATTTATTGCAACATAATTTGTAATGTAGGTTCTGTAATCAAAAAATGGACAACCATTTAGCAGCTGTTTTCTCACTCGGCTTCAGGCTCAGTTTAAAGTTTTCTATAATTGGAACAAAATATCCCAAGTGAAGGAAACCCTCTTGGAAAACAGGCAATGACTCACCCAAACATAAATATCCTGCAAACATAAGACTTGATTACAGGAAACTGCTCCCACAAATATGTAATGCTACTCTAAAATCTCTGTTTCTGACTCTTTCTGTTGCTTCTCTGCTTGAGCAGAAATACAACACTCAGGCGGGCGATAAGGGAACGCAGTTGTCTGGTGGTCAGAAGCAGCGAATAGCCATCGCCAGGGCCATCCTCCGCAACCCTAAAGTGTTGCTGCTGGATGAGGCTACCTCTGCTTTGGACACAGAGAGTGAGAAGGTTTGTCTTTCTATTCCATCACTGAAGCTTTGATTACTAAATGATCTTCAAGCAACTGCAAAATCAATCACTTCCTAGAAAGGATGGTGGGCACACAGTGCCATGAAGCCCAATAAAGAATGTTAATAACTGCAGGAAAAATTATATATGTGTGTATATATAGTAGCAATGCTGCCTCGTCTACCTTAATGACCCATGTTTTAGAAAGACACACAGGCATGATCTCGAGATCAACTTGGGGAAAATTATCTGTAGCTGGGGTGAGAATAAAAGCGGGTGTACCACCTATTAAAAATAAATAAACTTTGCATACAAAAGTACTTCCCATGTCTTGCTGGTTTAGTTTATAAATGGAAATCAGTTTTACTGGAGCATGTTGATGATTTCATCGTCTCTCTGCAGGTGGTGCAGGACGCCCTGGACCAGGCCAGCAAAGGCAGAACGTGCATCATCGTGGCGCACCGTCTGTCTACCATCCGGAACGCCGACCGCATTGCCGTCTTCCAGGGAGGCGTGGTGGTTGAACAGGGGACGCATCAGCAGCTGCTAGCAAAGAAGGGAGTCTACCATATGCTGGTCACTACACAGCTGGGCCACGGGACAGAGTGAGGGGACGGTGGGAGTCACTATTTGTCCTGCTGAGGGATTTAAAGGAACTTAGAGGAGCACTTTCTGCCTTCTTTTAGGTTGTTTTACATTAAGGCACTTTCACTGATTTATGCTCAATGATTTCAGTGAAACAACTGGGACTGAAAAAGATGGCTATGCCTCGTTAGTTACACTGTTTTAAGTTTAACTGCTGTGATTTGCTGCTGTCACCTTATAAAACTTTTTGAAAACAAAAATATTTTCCTTGAGAAAGTAGAAAAACTGGATTGTATTTGTCCGTTTCTTAGAATAAATGTTGAAGACTCACATTTCATTTTCTTTTAAGCATGACATCAGTTTATCTATCAGATTAACTAAAATGGTGCTCATAAAACAACTATGATTGATCTGATTCAATAAACTTGTGAAATTATAGATTTAAAGCAAATTTTATTTGCAATAAATGTCCAGATTTGGTTTAAATCTGGTCTTTATCATAGATCCCCTAACTCTCATATGATTAGCTTTATTTTTTATGTCAAATCTACCATTTGCTTTAATGTAAGCCTCATACCTCTATGCTTACCTGCAAACTGTGGCACATTTTTAAACTGTTAAGATATTGATCACCTCGCACTCCTCTTTACAAAACAAGTCTGACATATCATTTACCATGTAAAGTTGTGGATCCCCAAATTGGGGCTGAGGCCCCTTTTGTGGTTCTTGAGATGCTCTCCAGACATCAGATATGTAAAAATGCTTGTTTATAGCAGATGTCATAATGAAAAGTGTTGGATCGACATAACTGACATAATTGTGGAGAAAGCAGAATACATTAGTCCTTCCTTAAACTTCCACAATGCCAGCATCTGTTTACTTCAGCAGTCTTTGTTTAGCAGGTTAATAGATTGAGGGACACTCCTGTTTGAATGCTTTTAATCTGGTTGACTCAGGTGTCATATAAACTGATCAGAAAAAAAGACTGAAAATTATTTTGTTTAAAAATAAAGTTAAATAAGAGTAACAGCCAATAAGAAATCCTACATTCTGCACTGAAACTGTTTTGTTCTGTTTGTTTGAAGATTTATATATTTTTTTGTAATGCCTAAATGTGTTAGTTCATTTAATGATGGATGGATTGACTTTATGCAGATTCTGATCTCTTGCATAAATGCAATGTGTGACTTGTAAACAGGGATCACTGATGCAGAGCTGATATTCTGAGGGGAATGTATTCTGGTTATTGATACTTCAGTAATATTTGGGGGGAATGAGTAAAAATGAATTGTGTAATAAAGATGTGTATTCAAGCATTGATACCATTTCTCTTTTTGTGTTTTACTAGCAAAGAAAACAGTCTGATTCTGATGTTTGTCACAGCAAATAAACATCAGAATGCATCTACATATGTAATTAACTTTTTTTTTTATTTTTAAATGGGTTAAGAGTTGGTGGCGAAAAACTTCGATGAAAGGTATAAAAGTCTATAGGAATAATTTCAAATCCATGAATATGCTTCACGTTGTTTGGTGTTCAAAAAAGCAGCTGACTTTTTTTCATAGGTGAAACATGCAGCAAATGCCTCCAAGTTATTTCTTGAAACATGTTGACTGAGGCGTGTCCACATCTGGCAAATATATGAACTGACAGAAAATTCTAAAACGAACCTGCTGAAAATAGATAAATGAACCACGAAACCCATTGAAAGGAAAATGCTGCGATAGAGAAATGATCCCTCTGAGAAAATACACAGCAGCTAAGTTCAAATGAGCAGCAAATAAAAAATGTACGGCAAACGTGCAAAAGAAAAATGCTTCAAGTAGTGAAACCTTGCAAACCAGCTCTGCATTACAGAAGTGCTCTGTTGTACAGAGCTAGTTTGCAGTACTGCTTCTAGCCATTTTTATCTTTTCATGTATTTGGCTCATTGGCATGAAATGTAAGAACTCTGTAAAGTGCCTTGAGATGATGTGTTGTAAATTGGCGCTATATAAATAAAATGAATTGAACCATGTATTTTAACAATAATTTAATATGTAATTCTTTGTTAGAGAGAATCCAACCAAAATGCAGCGAAGAGTGTCATTTTTTTTCCCATGACAAAATGATGGACTTCTGCAGATAAATTAAACCTGTTATATATTTACAATTAAGATTATTTATGAGCTCAGATTCATCAGGAGTCCATCCATCATAGATCAAAGGTAAGGTTTCTGCTTCTTTAGCAAGAAGAAAAGAGGTAGGGGACATTTGCATAATCACAGACCTGAGAACATTAATAAAAAGCAAGGCTGTGGAACTACAGTTCTTTTAAGGCATGCATTATTTAAAAACATCTCTATGTAGTAACTGTAGTTTTATCGATACGGCTCATTCGGGGTCTGTCATCCATGATCAGTAAAAGTAGCATTCAAACTTCAGGACAGGAGTCTAACAGAAATTATGCAATTTCAAAAACAATTGGATGCAAAATAAAAACAAATCTTGCACAAAAATCAAAGAAATAAACAGTCATATGTGCACAGAAAAATTATCAATAAAAATGCTAAGAAGAAAAAGTTTTTCATTAGCAGAGCTCATCTACTGTAGTGTTACAGATTCTGCTCTCTTGCATTGATTTGTGCTGATCTAGCTGTCAGTATAAAATCAGTCTGAGCTGCATGTGACAAGAGGGAGAGAAGAAATGAAACAAATTCAGCCTTTAATGGATGGCTATTTATAGATTAGCTGTGGTGGCCAGATGGAGCATCTCGTGCATGGAGCTGGAGAAGAGGTTGAAGAGTGAGGCTGCATCTGTCTCATGGCAGGACTTCCAGGCTGTGACAGAGATCACAATGCTATATGATAGGGAAAACAAAAATGTTAAATCAAAGCTTGGAGAATTTGAGGTAACTAGTCAGTCACCTTTTTTTGTTTTATGGAAACAACCCTAGAACCTGATTTCCTCCCACCTGTCATCCCTGATGCGGTAGAAGAAACCGTAACCATGGTGAACCATCGGAGCCACCGCCCCCATTATTGTTGTGTAGCCCACCAGACTGGACGACAGCACAAAGTTCCCACCGCCGCCACTGCAGACACAGACGCAACGGTCCATTCAAAAGCACCAAAGGAAAAAACTTCTCTGCATCTTTTCATATGTGAAGATAGAATTTTTTATCTAGCTTTACGGACTGAAGACTCTCAGTGTCAGATTCTTTTTGGACATATTTGTTCAAATTTAGGGAGAAACAAAAATAATTACCTGTTAGGATTATTCTTATTGATGATGTAAGAGTCTGTTACAGCCTAATATTACCTGTATGTTGCTTGTCAGTACTAATATTTTCCCAAGTAGTTTAATTAGGACAGTTTCTCTGACAGATTTGGGAATGGAGAGAGCAGTGTTCTTGATCTAAGAACATAGTGGAATATTTTAAAAAGGCTGGATCCATGGATGTCTCCTCATTTACAGATGTGTATGATGTTATAATGTAGCATTCTGGAGATGTATAAAATGCTTCTTTAAAGGTATTGTGAAGCATTTTTGCAATTTTTTTTAAAAGACCTGCCCTCTCCACAAAAAATGTACATGCACAATCCAGTACCCCCTCCCAAGGGGGAACGCCTATTAAAAGCATGCAAGAGCCCATTTCTCCTCATGCAGGCTCTGCTTGAAACTTGCTGCTCCCATGGCTCATACAAGCTTACTGTGTCCGAACGTCCACCTTCACCCCTAAATCCCTCAATCACTATATAGAGAGGTGACTATAGAGTGGACTTTACAGCAAACTCAGTTAACTTATCGTTCGGACAGATTATTACTTTTTGCTCCCCGCTGGTAAAGTAACTCCTCCTCCACTGCGCGGTGCCGGGGCCACTCAGTCACCACTGTAACAGAAAATCCCATAATGCTTTGCGATGAGAGCTCTCTGTGCAAAGCATTCCGGGACATATCTGCCTCTTCCGAGACCTTTCTTTTCTTCTCGTACACGTCGTAGACACTTTTTCCTCTTACGGTCCTCGGCCATTTTCAATGAACCGCTGTGAGAAATGTGAGCTTCAATGACTGTCTGAAACCGTAACTCATCAAAAGCGCGCATGCACAGAAAAAGATAGCTAAGGGGACAAGCACGTGGGATGGCCTTACGTAAACATATCACCTGAATGATTGACAATAAGGAGGACCACTTATTTTGATGATCCACCCAGAAATAAAAGATCGTCCTCTATACCTTTAACTGTGATTTGAGGCCACTTCACGAGATGTGAGCATGAGATAGTTACATAAAGCGCTGCCTTCTGTAACTCTAAGCAATTTCTCTGATCTGAGTAAGATTACAAATTCTGTCATGTCTCATGGTCATTTCACACATACATTGTCAAGTGTTATTTAAATTTTTTTTCCCCGAGTGATCTCTTTTCAGGAAAAGAATCGGAGAGAGAAAGCTTTAAAGTGTAAACACAGAGCTTTCCATAACATAACTAGTAGTCAATTAGATTGACATGAGAGACTTTAATTAGATATTTTGAATACTACCAAAAATAAAACTCTAGAGCAGAGGTTTCCAAATTTCTGTCGGCGGGCTCCTCAGCTTCTTTGCTTCTCACATTGACATACTATATATACAGCATTACCTTGCTTGTTCATTGCATTCAGGCACAATGCAGCCAGAGTGAGCTTCATGCTTAGAAATAAATGCAGTCACTGTATTTGATAAGGCCTATTTAATAAATTAGATGCCGACGTTTTTTTCCAATATGTGTTAAGACTTTACAAAGAAATAATTTTCCTATACTGAAACAAGTTTTGACTACAAGGCAGTTTAACATCCTCAACTTATGCAGATAGAGGGGAAGCGAGTGGCAGTACCTCCTAGAGTAGAGGGGGTCAGAGAACAGCTCAGGTGTGGGGCGTCCATCTTCTTTAGCAATAAGGTAAAGCCCAAGTAGATGCCTGTCAAAACCTGCAGCCAACAGCAAACTTACATCAGAATACATACAGAGAGGGTTCAAACAACGGATCATTCAGGCCAAAAGAAACCAGTTTAAAAAAAAGAAATCTTTCCAGTCCCGTGCTCAGCTTATTTCACTGTTGTTCCCAAAATGAAACTTTCAAGTAATTTATAATAGAATATTCCACAAACTCACCGTTTCCATCTTGAGCTTCAGACATCAGTTTGTTGTGTTTATTAAAAGCTGACAGCATGGCGGTCCTCCGAGCTTTCACCTAAGAGGAGACATGGCGGCCTTACATTTGTAAACAAGCTGCTTTGAAAAAGATTCAGTAAAAAAAGGGTAAAAAAATAAATAAAAAAAAAACAACTCATCAGCAGAGATAACCCGATTAAAGTTGATACAAGCTTCTCAAGGAAGAGCAAAGGGTTGGAAAAACACATGATAATAAAAGTATACCATTTTTATCACCATGTGTTAGTTTGTTTCCATCATTGCCTATTACTGGTTTTACAGCAGCAACATACTGTTCAGCTTTACCTCACATGCAGGGTCCATCATGGCTTTGCACCAGTTCACAGCCTCCTGGGTGCAAGGTCGCATAGTCTCTGTCCTGCCGTGGTAAAACCTGCGAGTCGTTGCTGTTTCATAGCAACTTCCCGGCCTGATAAAACCACAAACAGACCGTTTTTTTCTTTTTTTGAAGTAAAACTGATTAACTTAAAAGTATCAGTTGCATACTTCTTGTGCAATTTGTAGTAAGCTAGCTGCATTGCCAGTTGGATAAATGTGTCCGGATGCAGCTTCCTCTGTTTGATGGCCAATTTTCCAAACGCTGTGAAGGCATAGCACACGATCTGCAGGTCCTGGGTCTGCAACAGCACCGATAATGCTGATGATCAGCCCACACTCAATAAAATAAAGGTTGTTATTTTTCCTATAAGGCTTTCCAAAGACTCACAGACTCCAGATACTGCTGTTTGGCATGATGGATGTCACTGTAGGCTTTTTCATCCAAAGTGAACAGCAGCTCCTCAGGAAAAGGAATCTGTCTGATTGTGTCTGAACCCTAAAAAGAACAGAAAGCAGCATCTGAGAAGCTGGGAAGGATGCGAGCGCAATGGTATTTCTAGAATGGGATTAAAAAGTTGAGCTTTACCTTCCATTGTCCCTCTGTAGCTCTGATTTGTTGGTCAAGATACCAACACATCGATATCAGCACCATAGCGTCATATGGTGCATGCTGCAAAATAATTCCAAAATAATTCCAAATCAATCAAATTTAAACCTTATTTCAGTCCCAAACTCAGGGTTCCTATGTGCTTTCCACATTTAAACCTAAAAATTTATAATTTTTGTTCTTGTTGGTTTTTAAAACTTTACAAACTAGAATGTACAAAGATCAGGCTAAAGATTCATAATGTAAAACCGGAGACTTTAAAGAGAAGCCAGACCCCATCCACTCATCCGTGGAAGATTTTAAAGGCTGATCGATTAAACGTTTAGAGAACTGTACGAGGAACAAACACACCTCTAAATATTTGATTGTTTTCTTAGTAGGACCCAGATAACACATAAATTAGATCCCAGATTAGTCCAAACTTCTTGAAGAACCAGGCAACAAAACTTACATCACAAGTGGATCCAAAAGTGCCATCTGAAAATGCGATTGAGTTGTAGGATTTATCCCCCCAGCGGATAGTGGGGTCACCTGTGAGGGCTGCTGCCGTTAGCTGCATTCAAAGCAACATAATCAGATCACGTTGTTTGCAGTGAGAGATAACTCAGATTAGGGCTTCTCATACATTAGTGTAGTTCTCGGGACGGGAGTAGGGTTTGGATTCATCCAGGGAGATGACAAACAGGGTGCTCTGAATGGTCTCCAGAATCGTCTTATTGTGTGGATCGATGCTGACTAGATGCTCTCTAGCCTGAAAAATACACACAGAGGTATTGATTCTCAGTTATTCAGAATGAGAGTTTAGAATAATGAATGATAATGACGCTGATGTTTTGTCTCTATAATAGAAGACAGCGGCAGTACCTTTGCCCAGCGAGTCCGTTCATCAGATGTCAGTGCGCCAACCCCGTCTCCTTCTGGTTCTCCCTCACAGCGCTTCTTCACGAAGCTCAGCTGCCTACACACATCCAAGAACACATTCAGCACAAACTTTAAATAATATGCCACTGTTCATCATTCCAAACCTTTGGAAAAAAAAATAAAAATACACTGGACCTTGTTTTCCAAGTTTGAAGACATTTCGCTTCCCATCCAGGTAGCTTCTTCAATTCAAAATGTCTGGATTAGCATTGAGTTCCATGTTTTATAGAGTGGCCCAACAGCCTTGTAATGGCTTAGAAAAAATGCAAATTGAACCAGAAGAACAGGTCCACCCCTTAGTAATGGGGAGGCATTGAGGTCTTTGTCACTGATTACTGGTCTATGCCTCTGAAAAGGGAGTCTTTAGGGTCATTGTTGGCCTGGCTGACCAGGCGAGATGTTTTGATCCCCTGCATGGCAATGATCATTGAGATGATAGCGGGAAGGAATCAACTGGATCACTGCGTTGCAGGTTTCTGAGAGCTGAAACCTGAGTCCACCCCCTCTGTTTAAGGGGGAGGAGAAACATCTTCAAACTGTTTTTTTACTTTTTACTTTTTTGGAATGACCATAACCTTGATGACAAAGAATCTTCACCAGCTTTGGAAAAATGTTCTTTACATAAAATTTATTTTTTTAAGGCCAGTTTGTACTGACCAAAAACCATTTTCATTGATTTGACAGCTAATTAAGGATCTGTCAATATCTATACTACTCATAATAATAAATAAAGCTTAAAAATCAAATACCAGCAAAATGTTATGTGGCATTTTAACATTGATCTGGTGTCATTCATCATTGAATGAACCTCTGTATAAGTGTAGATCAAGTGTATACGCTATACAAGTGTAGATTGTTTATTTATAGATCAATAAATAAACAAAGAAAAAAACACTTTTGGGTTCAGTGGAGGATCTATGCTGATAAGTATTGCACTGATAAGGATACCTGTATTGGGCAGGGCCTCGATCCAGCACTAAAATGGTGGCATCGGTATCGGTGAATACCAACAAATAGCGCACCGATACCATTTTGAGAGCCAAAAGTTTATTCAACTATTGTCTCCCATTCCAGGTAGGCAATAAAAATCACTTTGTATTAGTCTTTTTCCTGCTTCACAAAGATAGGCAGCAGCTTGAGAAAGCCATTAAGGCAATTATTTTACATCTAAGTGGTATGCAGCTCTTCATATATACACACACACATCAATTTCAAACAGATGCTATCGGTATGGGCCAATGCTGCACAGCCAGGTATCGGGTATTGGTATCAGGGGCAAAAAATGGCATCGGCGCAACACTAATGCTGATGTAGGTTGCTAGTCTATATCTCCCTCCCACCTGAGGAGCTCTGGAGGAGTCAGGATCTGTCCATCAAAAAGTGCATCGAAAGTGAAAATCCGTCCACGGCACATCACCACCAGGTGGGAAGGACACGGGCCCTCGCTCACTGGAAAACAAAACAAAATGAACATAACAGCTCTAAAAAAAAAGCTCAAAGGTTCCAGGCGTGTCTGATAGCAGCAAGGCTAAATCCACCTGTCTTGAAGTAGTTACGAATGGTGTCCTTCTTCACTCCAGGTACTTTGCAGGTGGAGTAGAGCATCCTGAACTGATCCATGTCTAGTGGGGTTTTCCCAGCTTTTTGGGGAGCAAGTCTTTCCCTAAAGCAAATGCAGGAAAATGAAGCATCCAATGTTTACTCTTTGAGATAAAACATTGAATTATATGTGTGAGCATGTCTTACGTGCGGAGCAGGTCCCAGTACTGCAGCGTGTGCCATGTTATGATACTGGTTCTCTGCAGAGAAATTCCTTCAGCAGGAGGCCAGAAATGCTCCAAGTAAGGCCCAGGGCCTCCAAAGTTTACATTCAGCTGAGAGGGAATCCGCACTTCTAGATACGCCGTGTCCAACCACCATTCCTCCAGCTGAAGGAAAACACAGACTGTTAGCTCTCTTCTTTGATAAAGAAGGACTAACAGGGTTATGCTCAGCCACAGACCCAGTTTCTCTTTTCCTTCGCTCTCTGCAGCAATTTCTGGTGCAGCTCTCTGCCGACACCTTCGGAGAATTTCCTCACAGTGTTCATGGTAGCTTTAAACTCTTTTTTTGTTGCAAATGGACGAACTGAAAGAGAAATTAGAGTGAGAGCATTAACCATTACATTAAAGTGGTATCTGGAATGCCAGTTTCATCAAACGCCTGACAGAGGCACTAAATGTCCTATTTTGGTTTAATTGGAAAGATACTTTCTGCAGTTATGAAAATGGATGATGTGGTTTTAACATGGTGCTTCGTCTGTTCATAAATCTGGAAGTCCAGGACGAATATACTTTAAAGCTTTAAACCAATTGGTTTCTCCTGAGCTCTGGAAAGCTCACATTTTGGATTTTATTCATGTAGATGCACCTATCAGAGAGGAACTCTGCTCCTGTGAGAACTAAAATGAAATACGTATTATGGCTGCACAGACGTTGCAAAATGATTGTTAAATTAACTTGTTGACGATTATAATTAGCCTGAAATATTCTACAGTAGCTTCTAAAATGTTCTAAACACTGCCTCAGAGCTTCTTTATCATAGCAACCACAGCTATAACATCCAAATTTATCAATATTTTACTCTGTTAACCCATTTAGGCCGGGAAAGCATTACCGCATTTCTACCATTCAAGCCGGGGGCGCTGTTGCGTAATTCTACCATTGACGCCGGGAGAGCATATAAGTCAAGCAAGAAGAAAGAAGTTTTTTTCAAGCAAACATGGAGGAGTTTGACAGAGAAGAGATGTCGGAAGGCAGTGATTTTGAGGAGTGTGTCGGCTTTGATGACGGTATAGATGAAAATGATGACTTTGAACGCGCTGAACCAATCGAACTACCACCGCAATGCACGGAGTGTTTTCAACCGCACACCTGGAGTGAAAGTTGATTTGCCTGCAGACACCACACCGCTGCAGGCATTTGAGCATATTTTTAATGAAGAACTTTGGATGCATCTTGTTACCGAGACGAATAGGTACAGTGACCAAACAAACCAAACTCCAACAAGAGCAAAGATGGCAAAGTGGTCACCCGTGACTGTGACGGAGATGAAGACATTTATTGGGCTGTGTATGGGCATGGGACTTCTTGTGTTGCCAGTAGGCTACGAAGAGATTATTGGCGACAGAGTAAACCTCTCTTCAGGACGCAGTTGCCCCAAAATATGTCCCGGGACAGATTTGTGGCCATCTGGAGGTAAGTTGTATGCAATTTATAACACAGACATATGCATTATTATGCATAATAATACTGTTAATAAGTAATCATCAGATAGTTATTTATGTAATGTTTGTTCTTTATTTTAAAAACGTTTTATATTGCACATTCTCAATGAAGACATGATTACATATGGAAAAAATAAAGGTTGAATTTTTTATTTTTTTATTACTGCTTTTCACTTTTTTTTTTTGGAAGAATTTCAAAGATAAAATATATTTTGAGTTCTATCTGCTACAGAAGCTGAGATATCAATAATTTACTAGGCGTTGACACAGTTGCTGAATTTACAGAAAAACTTCAGGTTTTAGGGGTATTTTTTAAAATCGGCCATAGGTTTTTAAGGTGTTTTTTCCAGGCGTTTTAGGCCTAAATGGGTTAAATCACATCTAAAGAGTTAATCCATCCTACCTGCATCCAGATACTTAGACAGGCTGCCCTGGAGTGATGGTACAGGTAGGGGAGGCAGACTGTTCTGGTACTGAAAGGTCCGTTCAGGCAGAGTGTCTGTTAACTGATTGGCCATTTCTTCTCTCTGTAACAAAAGATTTATAATATACCGTCAAAAAGCGTGCGGGCTGCGCTATAAGCTGTGGGTCTAGATACGGCCGAGGCGGTGAGGAAGTGGGGGTGATTTTAGTCCGACAACGGAGGGACATGATGGCGAAAAAGAACGGGTATCCAAGTGGAAAAAGGGTCCCAGTGTTCTCGCGCACCTCGCTCTTCTAGCAGGTCAAACTTCACAAGTTGTTTTCCTCAATTTCGGTCATAAAAACAAAACAAGCCGACCTCCTGTCTGCGGCACTGTCCGCGGTCAGCTTTTTGTTTGCTAAACCATGGCCACCTCTGGCCCCCCATCTAGCTCCACCCCTGCCTCCATCAGATATCTATAACTCAGTGATAGAAAGTTATGTCTACCTCAATTAGCTCATTTCTGATTGCTAGCAATAAATAATAATAAGAAGAAGAACAAAGATTAAACAGGGTTTCTATAAAGAGACGCATGATTTATTGCATGAATCAGAATATTTTCATTCCATTATTTTTTGTTACATTTTTGTCACTCTATTTAATGTGTTTGTTCTTGGAAACAAGAAATCAGGATGATTCAAAATCAGAGTCAAACATCAGACATGTCCAGGAGGATCCTTATCTGTGCATTTCTGTCTATTGATTAGTGCAACACTTCTGAGAATTGCATAGAGATAAAGCAAGGTTTAATAACTTGCTGCGTAGCTAACAAACAGATACAAAAACAAAAGATAATTTGCCATAATTTTCATAAAAAAAAAAATCAAACTTCATGTCAGCTAGTCTAAGTATAAAGGGATAATTGATCACGTGTATTTACTTTGTTTTTGTTTAAGTTATACAACAATTAACTCCTCCCTCACCGTTTCAATATGGGATAAACATATTCTCATACATTTTAAAAGGCCTCTATTGCAGAAAAAATCCATCAAGAAAAGTTATTTCGACTCTTCCTACAGTTAAAAACAAACAAGGTGTCATTCAGTGCTGCTTTGAAGGCTAATGCTACATCAAAACGCGGCTACTTTATTTAGCAAAGATAATCGAACTGGAAACTTACTGCTAGCTCAGCTTCTCCGGGATGTTTTGAGTATAAATATCTTGGGTTTGGTTCCTTTTACACAGCTGTATAAAAGAGGGAATGTGGCTGTGTTGCTGTCTGCAGCTCCTGCAGCTGCAACGCCAGCCTGTGTTCACCTTTACCCCACTCAGCCAATGCGTGTCTGCCCGAAAGAGCCGGCTCTTTAGGCCGGTTCATTCAAAGGAACGACGAAAGGTGACCTGTTTACAGTGAACGAAGCAGTAGTGTTTTAGCAACCTTAGGGTTACATGCTAATTTATTAAGTTAGCAATTAATAGATTTTTATTTTTGTATTATCTCTTGTCAACATGCAAAGGTGGATGATCTCTTGACTTTGCAAATATTTTAATACCTTAGTTATTGATACATATGTAGTCTCATATTGATTATTACATCGATTGTTATTACAGTGAATATTTTTGCACTATACTTGCAAGTAGCCTACCACACTATCTGTATTCATAGAGCATGTGAGGGGAGTCCGATCTTTTGATCTGATCCAAAGTATTTGAATCCCAAATATTGAGGCGGAAATTTCACCATCAGCTACAGCATGAAGTCAAACACACTACAGCGCATGCGCACATTTGACCCATTTTTACATTCGAAAAATTAGCTGCGTTGGCTGTTTGACCACAGCGAATAATCTAAAACAAAAACAAAATAATGGTCAAAGCATGGATACAAAATTAGACCGTTTTTAGAATAAGTATTATTTAATCAAAACGAATTTAAAAGTGAGCAGGTTTTAAAATAATAATAATTAAAAAAAAACTGCAATGCCAAATTGCTTGGATGAGGCATTTGGTCATGTCAATGTTCCCTTTCTCTATGTGCTCTATTAGAGATTTTTGCTTGCTTTAACCAGGTAGTTGTGGATTCTATGCTGCATTTTGAAGCAGAGTTTTCTTCAGGTTCCTTCATTCCTGCTGAAATTAATTTAACTGTGTTGGCCCATGTTGATTTACCCAACTTCAAAGGTTTGTTAGTTTCTTTTGTAATTAAAGGAAGAATTGTATAATGACTGTATTCTAATAATGTTAGTCCACCATATGTTCACTAATAATTCATAAAAGTATTCCCGATATATCCCACCTTGTATTCACAGAATCCTTAAAAACAATTCCTGTATCCAGATGGTGATCAGGATCATCACCAAAACTTTGACATTTGTTGCCAGTCACAATATGCACATTCTTTACAGATTTTACAAAAAAAGGCTGAGAAACATTTCGTTCTTTTAACATATAGAGTTTTTACCTTTTTTCAAACAGCTCCTGTCTTTTCATTTATATGACAGTATTTAAATAATTCATGCACATGCTCTGCAAACACACAACACATATTCACAAACAGGGCAAAGTCATTTAATTTCTATATTTGTTCACATTTAACAGCATTTGATCTGGGGTTTTTATCCATGTTACAAATTAGTGAATTCTTAAAGTACATTAAATTTCCACAGATATATGACTATTATAGTTGCATAGCAGTTGGTTATTTGTATTAGTTTAGGAAAAAAATATGTAAAAAAAACAACAACCTCAAATTAAGGAATAATTATGGCCTCTGGGAATAGAAGGCAAATAGCAGCTCTGTTTTAGTAACCGATTTTGTAATTTTCCTCTAGCCTTCCATTAGCTTGGCCTCATTAGATTATCTCAAAGTTTACAGCCCATATTTGCTAATAATCTCCTTGGCGTGTGTAATGTAGGTCGACATCGCCTCTTCCTTGGACATTCCTGAAGCAGAGCAGAGACACATATTAGATGCACCACAAGCAAAAATGCCTCACTTTGTTTCTGTTTTACCACTAGCAACATGATTAATTTATACAGTACCTTGTGGCGGTATTTACAACCCTAAAACCCAATCACAATTTATTGCCGTTACAGCTACAAATCTCAGTGTTTACTTTAATTGATGGACCAACATCAAGCAGAGAATAGATTTAAGATTCTCAATAAAAATATCCATATGTAGTGAATATTTGTGTATTAGAATAAAAACAATTATGTTTTTTCCTGAGTTTGTTTTCAGTCACCTTTAGTCTAAAACCCCTAAATGAGACACAGCGCTGCCAGATAACTTCATGAGGTTATTTAAGACATTGCACCTGTGTAATTTCCTCTGTATAAATCCCACTGCTCTGTGGAGACCAAACAGGTTTGTTGAAGGGCATTGATAAACAAACAAAACCAGTAAGATAACAGAGCAACAACCAGAAAGGCAGCAGAGGCCAATTATAGATTACAGTCTGTTTCTAGGACATCTAGTAGGGATCTTTTGACCAAAATCTGTCAAAATCACATTGACAAAATCATGTCATTCTCACAGAAAACATGGTAGTGGCAGCATTATGCTGTAGGGGAAATTTTAATCAGCACAGACCTGGAACCTGGAGAGAATAGGAGGAAAATTCCAGGGAGGTTACATTTTTCTTCAAAGTACTTATAATTTAGATTTAAATAAGTTATTAACAAGCCTTTGATGGATTATAGTAAGGCTGTTTTTTGAAGACCACGTTGTGAAACTTCGTAAAATCGTTTATTGAACTTGCCATAGCTTGTTATCAGTGAATTAAGGACAAAGAGTCTTTCATTCATTTACAATGACTGCACACTGTGCTGAATTGTAAGTATTTATCTGCATCAGTCATTTCAAGATCGCTCATATGTCAACTTGTTACCTTTCCTTGATTCCCAAGCATCCCACTTTGCTTTTCCTGTAGGGTCCAGCAGGCCAGGTCTATCTGCAGTTAAGAGAAGAAACACAGTAGTTCAAAACTTAAAAGAAAAAAGTTTCATTTAGCTCATGCGGATCAAGTCACATACCGGTGTTAACATCCCCGACTATAGCCTGTTTATACAGACCGTACAGGATGAGCAGCTCATCGTTTGCAGGTTGCGTTTTCACCTTTTTCACCTCGTCTGCCACTTTCTTGAACTCTGCCTGAGGGTCAGACACTTAGAAAAGGTCATTCAGAACACGACCCATTGGGAGGTACAGGCGATTTCGATTTAATTTAAAGTACTTCAAAGCCACCGATCTGATATAGTGTTCAGACAGAGGTACAGAATAAGGAAATGTGCATATTAATGAGCAACATCCAACACTGAATTTGTAGTCAAGCCACAGGGCAAATCCTGGGAAACCGACTGCTGCACAACTGGGAGTCAAACAAAGGGCTTTTTATACAAGACTCTGGTGCTTTTGTCCCTGCTTGAATAATCTGCTTTACAAAAAGATCTGGGACATGCACATAATTATAGAGCCCCTTTTAAGGATAAGTATAAGCAACATTCATGAACTGAAACCACTGCTGCAAAAAGTGATTCAAAATTGATTTAAAAAAAGATTAATTCTTCTTATCAGCTCTGGCGCTTAAAAAAATAACAGCACATGCAGCTGCAGCATCAGCACCACATAACCAGTAGATGAGCAGAGCAGACATGATTTCCCTTACATCGAGCTATTGACTATAAAATGGATGAGCAAACAAACAGCAATAGCAGCAGCAAGGTGATGAAACATGCAATAAAAAAGATTGCTGATTTTACCTCGACGGACATGTTGGCTGGTGCAGGAACTGGCTGGAGGCAGCGACACAGCTGAGCAATATTTTATGAGTTAGTAGAGAGCCAGCAGCAGCAGTCCTAGGAAGAAGAGGAGGAAGAGGAGGAGGGAACAAGAAGGCTGCAGAGCAGAGAGCTGATTGGCTGGCAGACACTGCGACACATAGGGAGATACATGCTGAGGGAAACCTGACCCCAGAAAAGGGTCACTGTGTACTTGGAGCAAATGCAACGTTTGTAATCTTGTGCATCAAGCTCTGTTTATATTATAGATAAAGAGGGTTTTATGAAATTTCAACCGCTATTCAATAAATTAATCAACATTTAACCAGGAAATATAAACCTAAAAAAGACAGTTAAATGTTTTTATTTTTTTTATCAATAGTTCCAATTGTGACGTTCAGAACGACCTGCTAACAGCAAAAATAATTAGAAAAACATGTATAATTGTGTTAAATGTTAAACAGATTAAAATCATCCTCTCAAAATAAAAGCAACATTTTGGGATTTGGGTTTTAGGTTGGCTAAGGAAACTGTTAAAATGTAGATGTTGGTTTACAGATTCCTCTACCTAAATCTAGAGAGAACGATATAGTAGGGAGAGAAAGCAAAACGTAATGGAAAATGAGGTAGGATAATTAGGTAAAGGGAAGATATCTATAAAGAATACCAGTATTCCATATCAACAAAAACAGCTGAGGTTGGCATGGGAACAAAGGAATTAATAGGAGGGAAGATATAGTTATTAATAGATCAGGTAATTGCCTCCTTAAGGGCACCTTTTTAAAACATATCACTGGTGTGTGTAGTTGGTGTAATGTCACAGAAATGGTTGAATGTGTTTTTATTCAGTGTACTGTATAGGCATGTTGGCCTAGAGTTAGAGCAGTGCTTGTGCTTCTGAGAAGGTTGCAAGTACCTGGTTCAATCCCTACAGACTGCCGCTCTAGGTCCCTGAGCAAGACCCTTAACCCCACTCTGCTCCCCAGGTGCTGCACAATGGCAGCCCACTGCTTCCCAAGGGGATGGTTTAAATGCAGAGAGTGCATTTCTTCATTATGAGATCAATAAAGTTCTATACGGCAGGTATGGAAATCAAAGAAAATTTTTTTTAAGTTACGTTTTAAGTTTAATGGGGAATTTAATATTTATACTAATAATTTAAATAAGGAAATATATTTTAAAAACTTACTTCATCGAGCGAATTTAAAGAAAGATGATCAAAAAAATATAATACACGAGATGGCAGCAGTGTAACATTATTTGGGTGCGAGCTTCCGTTAAAAAAAAGGTGTAATGTTGCCTCCCTAACGCTAGGTGTCGCCGTTTCTAATTCTAAACTTTTAAAACAAAAATAAAACATGGCTGCGCCCTGTGTGCTCGGTGCTCCACTCAGGCTGTGAAATAAACATTAAAACGGCTTTTGATTTCAGTCAGTTTAAGGTATGATTCGTTTGTTCTTAAAAACGCCTAAATGTGTTTATAACGTGAACGTGTTTATATGAAGGGAGCCAGATAGTTTTCTTCATTTAATGGAAAATACCTGTCCATACACGTGTTTAATTTTAGGAACAGTAAAATAATAATTGGAATACACAATTTTTTATTTATAGGGTACCGATAATGATATAATTATAATATGCTAAAATAATGAATGTATTTACCACTAGCCTGAAAGGCTACACAAACAAAACCTAATAAATGGAGACTCTAAGGCTTTGTATTCACGCAGGTTTGTTTTTTTAACTAACAATATAGTGGGTAATTTATTCCACTATGTTGAGGTTCAAATATTTGCCATTCGAGCTGAATCCCTTTTCTGCACCACTACCCATCTTAAAAGCTCTTTTTTTCCTTTTCTGTTGCAGCAAACTTTAAATATTACCCTTATCAAAGAGACTAAAGTAATAAAAACTGTTACAATTGGAGAAACAATGTTGAGATACATAAGAAGGGAAATTAATTGAAATATGGGAAAGCTATGTGTGTGTGATTGTTTGTTCCAGGTAGTGGCACAAACAAAATATAACAGGTTATGGAAGGTAGGTGCAGATTTGTTTTATGAGGAGGAAATCAGTTATGTTTGGTCCAAGATGGATTAAAGAGGATATTAGACTGTCTCAAAGATAGTAAACAAAGATCATAATAAAGAACGTTTATGAAATGATGCCAAGGTTTTCACCCTAAATGGATTTCTGTTTCAGGTTTTAGATGAGACATGGCAGCTGCAGCAAAACCGTCTAAGAAGGAGCTCAAAAAGCAACTTCAAAGTAAAACTTCCTTCACATCACCCTTCAGTGCACAATGGAGCCCGCTTCCACAAAAAGAAAAGGATTTCATCCTGACAACTTTAAAGGACAAAATTGTCGCCACAGGTCTGGAGAAGAAGGAGGTGAAGGTGTGTCGTCAGTGGAGGAAGAAAAAAGAGATTGAAGGAGATGCTGCTGAGGAACCTGCTCCCCAGGAAGTCCAGGGACTTGATCCCACTAGAAGCGGCTGGACAGATGTGGCAGCTAGACGGCAGCTGGCCATCGGCATCAATGAGGTCACAAAGGCACTGGAAAGAAACCAGCTCCAGCTGCTTCTTGTTTGCAAGTCTGTCAGACCGCAACACATGACGAACCACCTGATCGCTCTGAGTGCGACGAGGGGCGTTCCGGCCTGCCAGGTTCCCCGCCTGAGTGAGAGCATAGCAGAGCAGCTGGGGCTCAGAAGCGTCCTGGCTCTGGGGTTCAGACAGTGTTCTGAAGAACATGAGGTGTTCAAAGACACGGTTGACGCTATTAAACCCAGGGTGCCTGTACCGGATGTTGATTGGCTGAAAGGTGAAGCAGCTAGAGTGACCTCTGAGCTCTCAGATGGTCAGGAGGAGGAGGAGGGAGAAGAGCAAATGGAAGAAGGGAAAGAGGAGGAAGGTGGGAGAAAACCACAAAAACGGAAACTGGAGATTGAATCTGAGGTCAAAGAGTCTGCTTTAACCTGCACTCTGCAGCCGCTGAAAGTAAAGAGAACAATTCCTAATCCTGCTAAGAAAAGAAAAATTAAAGTGAAAAAACAGAAAACCAAATAAGAAATTCTACTCTTACAGCACAGTGGATCCCATTGTTCTTTGTCTGGAACAATCTGTTAGCGTATTTTTTGATTTTCTTTTTTAATTTGCATTATTTAAACTATCCAAACCTCATGGTAAACATGAAGCTTTACTGTTGAGCTGATCCTTTTACTGTTTGGTCGTGAAACATGACAACAGTTTTCAGTTGCAGCTGTACGTTTAAACCTTTTTTTTTTTTATAATACTTATAAGTTGCTCTATTGCAAAATAAAGTTTTTATTTTAAAGCTAAGAAGATGCCCTTTTTTGTTCAATTCTTTCTAAAAAAAAAAGTATTCTCTTAGACCCATGAGCTAACATGAACATGAAGTAAATTAATTTGCTTAAAATGTCAAAGCAGCATGCCATGATCCTGACAGTGTTAAGACATTTGATTATAGATATCAGCTTAAATTCTAGTGAGACTTTAATTACAAAAATATGTATAGGTTATGAATTTCTTTACAATGTAATAGTACTGTTCTATCATGTATTCATGTGAGGTTAGCGATACTATTCAGATTTTTCAGTGTACTTGAGGTCTGTCCAGTACCTGCAAAATGTTTCTGAGAACGGTGCTTGAATCTGAGGGAAATTTAGAAATACCGGTAATAAAATGTGGAACTTGTATGAGTAAAAGAGTAGGGTGATTGGTTTCAGTTCTCAAATATGTTAAGATGATGAAAAGTTACACAGATAATCAGCAGATAAACATTTATAAATAGGGCAAACAAGGACATCACAGGAGAGGATTTCAAAAAAAAAAAAAAGTTCCACTTCAGCCATGTTCTTTTTTTAAAGTTTGAGTTTATTCAATCAAATATCCATGCTGGTATAGCTGAGGTGTTGTAACAGACTGGTATTTTTACTGGGTTTTATGCCTAAATGATGCTGGTACAGGTTTTTCAGCTTGTTCACAGTTTACAATGGTTCAAAATAAAAACATTGTTCTTCAGTTTGACTGGATGTTATTTCAAAGACACTCATCACACCACCTTCAAAGATGTGAGGAAAATCTTAAAAAAAAAAAAAAAAAAAAAAAAAAAAAAAAGGTGAGTGTTGCAGCCACTTCAAGTCTGACTGGAAAACATTTATGATGGCGTCAACATGGCAGCGGAACCAACAAGTTCATCTGAGCTGCTGCAGGCTTCACCAGGCACACCGTTGATGCAGCAACTGGATTTCAGACTTATAAATCAATGACAATAGCATGTCTTTGTGAAATAAATTCATTCCTTAGTCCCAGAGAATTTACTGACGTTTTTGTCCTGATCTGGACGATCCAAATGGAATGAGAGAAAAACACAAATACAAAAAGATTTCTCAAAAATGAAAAACAGATGGAACCTTTTTTATGTTTTGCAGAGCCACAAACATTAAGAATGTAAAACAATTAGGCTTTGATAAAAACACACTCCACCTTAGAACAAGTGGTTGTCAAAACTTTTGCTTGTCGGAGCACACAGAACTGCTAAACTCTCAAAAAAAGTATGAGTAAAGTGAGAGTTGAAGCTGACGTCTAATATTAACAAATATCACAACTTTTACACATTTAGCTGCACAACACACTAAAACAAAATGAACACTATATCGTTTTATGCCTGACAAATTTAAATAAACTCAGAAAGTCAAGAAAAATATGAAAACATGGAACACTTGTTGATTTAAAGAATTCCCAAACTTTTCCTTGTTAGAACATACAATTCATGACCTAGGTTCAGATTATCAAACTGTTGGCTTTAAATGTATTTATATATATTGCACTTCTGAACCATTGGCCACTTCACACTAGATTCTTTGCAACAGAGAAATACTCTGCAAGTGGCAAAGGCTAAATCAACTGAATAGATTGTGTTTTATTAATTATTCCCTTTTAGATCCAATAGGCCATTAAGCTATTATACTCTTTTCACACATGTTAATTTATACAAAATCTCAAGTCAAATATCCTGCCTTTTATCCCCAACGCTAAAGTGTAACCAAACCAACAAAGATGGAGTGCAATAGTAAACGCTACCACATGTATCAGTTAAATGCTAGACTACAAAAAAAAAAAAAGTCTCCTTTATAACCTGAAACCAGCTCCCACCATTTCTCAATAACCAAACGTTTAGGATCAGAAAACCATTTGACCTGTTTGTAAAATTGTGCTTCATCAATGCAGTACATTCTCCAATAAAAAAACAAAACAAAACACAGACTTCTACATAACTTAACATTTTTAGATGAGCCCTCACCTGCAACTTAGACTACAGGGATACATGTGGTGTTGTTTTCAATGTAAACTATATCTTACAGTTTTGATGTTCTATGAGACACCTTTGGGGGGGAATTACTGAAGGAAAAAAGGCTTTTCTTTTTGGGTTAGAAACACCTTCTTTAAAGTTTCTAATCCTACATGGGCCCGAAAACGCCAGCAGAGACACATGACGGACCAAAGTGATATGAAAACAGGTACATGGAGCAGTGGCTTGATTGCAGAGGATAAACTGGATGTAAATTGGTAAATGTGCCTCATGGAGTATCATTTACAAGAGAATGTATTTAATACCAGCCCCTTGGTGACAATGTCTGTAAAGAATGAAGAAATAGAAACAAAATTCACAATGCCAAGGCATCCTCTGGATAGTCTGACTGTTGGGTTTTAGGACCAGGAGAGCATGTCAACAGAGTTGTTCTGCAAGGATATCTCAGGCATAGCATGACTTCACATTCAGGATGATAATTGAAGAGTTTTCCCCTCTGGGTGGACTGCATAAGTTCTTAACGGTACCACCACTTAGTCTCGAGGTTGGTTGACTTGAAGTTTTCACTGCTGAGCTCGGGGCGACCCGCAGGTCCAAGTGAGGAGGCCAGAAATCCGCCGCCTGTTTGTGGAGCAGCCATGAGAAGAGCTGCTACTGAAGAACGAGGCCAACCTGATCCAAAAGCATCAGAGTCAAGAATTTTGATATAAGAAATGCATGCAAGACTGAAAACCTAACTACAACACACACTTCATGTTATAATGCATTCTTAAAACAACACAAGTGGAATTGTAGCCTTTTGCGCTTCCTTCTAAGCTTTTGTCTTTGTGTTATTCTGCTGACCTTATCAGTGTCCATCGGGGGACATTTCCAGTTGTAGAGGTAATACTGCAGGTTTCCGTCTCCTATGCCAAACTTCAGCTTCTCCAGAAACATCTTATTCTCCATCAGATCCAAGGCGTTGAAAACATCGAACCCTTTCTGTCAAACACACAACCGACACCAAGATGAGCCTCACAGCGATGGGAAAACGATGTCCCACACACTTTTTTAGCTGTACGCATTTGATGACATTTACATACAAAGTTTACAATAAAATATGAAATAACCTTTTCTCCTATAAAATCCAACAAAACTTTTCATATTTTACCAACTGAATGCCACACCTATGAGAGAGATAACTTTTTAAATTCTTTTGTTTCTGTTTAGACGATCACAATTACTGCCCTTTTAAGCCCAGATGCTTTGTAAGCTTGTAGGACTTTACAACATTTGAATTTACTGGATTTCCACCAGTGGGTGGATTTTAAGGCAACATCAACTTATACTTGGGAAAAAGAAAAATAAGCAAAGATATAAGGAAGCCAGTCATCGACCTCCACACATTGTGTGTGGGGTGTTTTTTTTTGTTTAGCTTTTTAAAGCTAATATATCGTGGAACCTAATCACAATAAACGGCAGTCACTATAAAAAAAAAAACTTAAAAAAAAAAAGGTAATGTGTTATTAAGTAACATGTTACTGTAACTGGATAACTTTTGCAGTAGCTAGTTTGCAACTAATTACTATATAAAAGTTAGTAACGTGTTAATTATTGCTTCACTTTAAACTGATTTGTTAGTTGTTACTTAACACGTTTAAATAAGGACTGGTTTTCTGGTGTAAGCACACATGAGCATTACGTTACAGCGATATCAGCTTCAGCACGAACGCAGAGGACAGACGATGCCACAGAGTCACTGATTTAATGAATGTTCCCAAAAAAAGAGCGCTCACTGAAGCTAAATGTTTCTGTGATTTGCTCATTATGTAGAGGAACAAAGATTTTATCAGCGTCAGTTAGAAGCTGAATTTAAAGAAGCTCCACACACAGTCTTGACACCAACTGACAGCTGCTGCCTTTAATCAGCACATTTTCTTTACTTTCTTTGGGCTATAATGGTTTACATGCATGGTTTACATTTGTTAAGGCAAAAATACTGGGATCATACAGTCCTCCTAGGATTTTTTGTTTTTGTTTTGAGGATTTTGCAGCACTAGTGGCTAATGTTTTGTACAGTAGGCTGACAGGAAAGGGAGCATGAGAGAGGGGGAGACATGCGGCAAAGGACCACAGGTCGGATCCAAACCCGGGTCGGCCGTGTCGAGGACTAAGGCCTCCGTATATGGGTCGTACTCGCTAACCACTGCGCCACTGATGCCCACCCCTACTAGGATATTTTATTCTATTGAAAAGTATATATTCTTTGTTAAGCTTGTTAAGCATTATTTTTCAGCTTTATATTTAATATTTTAGAATTCTAATAACAAGAAAGTTTTGCAAATACTTTGACATTTTAGATCATCAAAAAAAAACTGCACAGTTCCTTAAGCTAGTAACTTTTTTGGAGATGTAACTAATAACTATAACTATTTAAAGCAACTTTCCAAACACTGCGATGGAACCTTGGCCCTAAAGACCATTGGAAATTTCAGCACAACAATGACCCAAGATAAGAAGAATATGTTAGCAAATACTAACACAATTGATTTGGAATGGGCAATTAATCACCCATTCCAAATCATAGGAAGCATGTGATTGCTGTTAGAGCCAACACATGCTTTTTCTATTGCTTATTAAGTGGGGTATTAAGAATTCTTAACATGCCAGGGTTTGCTCTATGTAAATAAAAACTGAAATATTCTTCCCTCAACCATCTTCTATATTGTCCTGTTGTATTCAGTGAGACACCTGTATCATATCCAATCAAGAAAAAAAAAAGAGAAGTGTTTTGAATACGTCAAAATTTGCCAGGGGTGTGAATAATCTTTGACTAGCCAGTATATGTGTACTTATTTTGGATTCGACCTTAAAAACAAAAAAAACTAAAAAAACAGCATTGATCTTGATTCTTTGGTAGAAACAGGTACCAGTTTTGCCAGGATCAGAGCATCATTCATTAAGTCCAGTAGTGGGGTTTGTGTATGAACACTGTAGAATGAGTAAGCTGCCTTCAGGCTCCTATGTAGAGGATGGTGCATCACAGTAGAGGGCAAAGTGTAGAAACTAGTGAAATCTGTCAGTACGCCACCTGCAGTCTGAGAAGAGAAATGCACATTTCTTTAGAGGAACAACAACAACAAAAAGGACTAGCTTGAGGATAGGTAGTACCTGTACAGACCTCTACAACATATGTGTCAATTATGTTTTCCTGTGGCAGGAACCAATGAGCGACCTCTTCTTCTCCCATGGAAGGTGCCAGATGGAAGCGTCTCAGGTACTTCTGTAACAGCTCGGTGACCTGGGGAAGGTCACGCCTCTCCATCGGCCGTAGGCCTCGAGTTTTGGTGCTCTATGGGCAAAAGAAAAGCAAAGGCATTTCTTAAAATGTTTTTTTTACATTTATTGGAAGAGAAAATTGAGAATGTGAACAAATGGGTAGGAATCTTTTACATCTGGTAGCCTGTAAAGCTTCATGGTTCGTTGCAGGGTCATGTTTCTGCTAAGATGGGAGAACTTCACTTCCACCAGTTTCCTGGGGTTCAATGAACGATGCCAATACCTACAAAACAAAACAAAACACTGAAGAAAGAAGAAGAGATACCATGTTACTACATTTAACATTGAGTACGGTCTGTTATACCTGCATGTAGACACGGGTTTAGGCAGCACAACTCCAGCTGTATATACCGCCTGGAATATACCCTCCAGGTTCACCCTTCGTGTTATCTCTCGGATCAACACGGGAGCAACACGCTTCGAACGCAGCTTCTTATGAACACAGAGGAAGTTGATTTCTACCATCTTCTTTATCCTGCAGCAACAAGGACAAAGAGGGGTAGTATCACTGCCCGATTAGCTCCAGAACCCCCTGACTCAGTTAGCTCACGTGTCATAGACGCGGATGTCTGCAGGGATGGCACTGATGAATCCAACAAGCTTCTTATTAGAGGACACTCTTACTCCACAGTGCCACTGCGGTAACCAACCAGGTGGCCGGAGAGCCCTGGGAATATAAAGCACAGGGAAGAAGTTTCCACTGAACTTTCCAGGTCAAAACAGTTGCACAAAAAATTATATTTTTTATATTTCCGGGAAAGTTTCTCTAATCCATAAAGGCTCAAAATGTGCATTAAACTATTCAAGAGCAAATTTGTATTTAATTAAAAGGGAAATTCAAGAATAGATTAGAACATCTAGATCATAGAACATAGAAAAAAATATAAACATATTAGTATGTAAAAAATTACAATAATAAAAGAATTTGGGCAGAATAAACATATTTCCAAATCAATGTTTGTCGACAAAAAAATAACACTTAAGGTGTGTTAGAACACAGGAAAGCAGTTCAATGCACTCTATGGTCCCTTAAAATTCATATGGCTATGCAACCTCAACATAATAAAATTTAATCATAATAAGAAATAATTTTGTGTCCTGCTTGCAAATAGAAGTATCATTTAATATAAACTATCTATCTGCCTGTGTCTAGTATTGCTTAGATAGAACATGCTAACTTTTAGCTTCTGGATTGGTTCTAACCTTAACCCCATTCAAAATGTGTTATCTATGCTTAATAGTCAGCAAAATGATCCATTTTAATTAATTCTACTAAGGAAGTGATTAAACAGTAAGCCAAGATTAGAAAAGAGGCTTGATGTTGACAAAAAGGGTTAAAAAGGGTTTCTGGATCTTACTAAGGGACAACTATCCTAATATTATTGCAGGTGCATATTTATATTTCAGTCTTTGTATAATTTAACCCTGTGTGGATCAGAAAAACTACCAAAAAAGATAAATGTTTGCCCCAATTCTATATTTCATATTAATCAGTTATACCCCTGCCCTAAAACAGCAGCAGATTTCAAATACACGAAAGGCCGATGTGTTAATATATCAATCCACATAGCAAGTTTGTGAACTTACAGCGTAAACAAACACAGATGGTACTTACCACTTGAGAAAGCTTGGGGAATAATCAAATCTGAACATGTTGTCATCGTCCTCCACATAGTTCTCATTTAACAACGTGTACAACTCTTTCAACTACGACCAGAAACACACCTCAAATCAGCCATTTATCACTGACATCATTACTTTTGAGTTTCCAAGACAAGAATCCTACTTACTACATCTGCATTACTGAGATCCAAAGTGTCCCACATAAAGCCTTGAGGTAAAGAATATGGTTCCTGCCTGATGTTCTCTTTGTCAGCTTCGATTGGACCGTGGCTTGTCACAACTTCATCTGCAAAAATAGAGCAGAGGGGGAATTATTTCCAAACAACAGAAGACTGTCAGATTGAAAAAGCATGTGTGTGGTTTTACAATTAAAAAATAACACAACAGCAGAAAAGCTTAAGAGGTTAAATCCTGCTTCTCTTGGTCCTAACGTGACAAGGCTATCCTGTAACATGAGCCCTCCTACACACATAGGACAAGAGCTGAATAAAAACTGCTTGGAATAAAGAAACGCAGCAAAATAGCTTAAAATTTACATGACGGCTGACTCTACAGTGGATAACACTGTGGAATAAACCCTATTAGAAAATATGTGTCCTCTTTAGATAAAACAGTGGCTAAAAAAAAAAAAAAAAACTGTGGTTAGTAAAATTGTTTTTATTCTATTTGCTGATTTTATTTTAAACTTACTTAACTTTGGGACAGGCTGCGTGTCCCAGAACTGATATTTGTGCTTGGTCGCCTCATCGATACTCTTTGCTGGACCCTGACAGGACAGCAGTTCCATGGCTCTTTGGATGTCCTGAAGCTTCTGAATGGGCAAGCCAGGGTTCTGAAAACATAACAATTACTTTAATTGAACAGGGAGTGAGGATTACATATGATATAAGATTTAATGTACAGCGGCAAAAACACAAACATGATCATAAGTCGTCTAGGCTGTGAAGTCTGTCCTGCAGCGTGTATGTAGTGTGTGGGCGGAACTATCTGGGGTTACATTATATGCAGAACCAGAAAAGATGGCCATATGGCACCCCATTCAGGTCGCAACAAGGTCTGAGCCTGTTGTGGGTCAAATTCCAAGAGGCTGGTTAAGAGAATTTTTTTTTTAATTATAATTAGAGCATATTCATGTGTTATTTTGTTTGTTGTAATAACTAAAAGTGAAAATGGGAGGCTTTAATGGAGTCACAGGTAGCTGCACTGCAGGTATGCTGATTGCGTTGAAAACATTGTTTTTGACCACGTTGTCGCCGTTTATGTGTTGATCACAAAACAAAACTCTAATCTCCTTTGGTCTGATGTGTGGAACAGCCAATTCGCCTCTCGTTTAGAGCGCCTGATCAATAAATGCTCTACAATCACAGAAAGTCAAGTGTTGATTACTGGATCCAGGAGGACAACGCATCAACTCAGAGCCAGTCAGCTGCCTCTCAGTGGCTTATGCTCATTTGGTTTTCTTTAAGAACAAGTCATTATAACTATATTTATTGGAAAAGAAATACAGAACAGTATAGTAACCGCTTCTTGTTTTGTCTCCATTTATATGTTTTATGAGCAATATTAATTGCTTTGTCGAGAACATTTGGGATCAATAGGCATCGGTCAGTCCTTCTGTTAAGGAGCCAAAAATTAAACAGGTGTGGGTACTAATTCACTCCAAGCAGTAAATCAGAAACCTTTATTTAGGGAAAGGAATAGTTTGTTATTTAAACAGAAGAAAAAACATAAAAAGTTATATTTACAGTTTAGCACACAGAGTAAAATTGCTTTACTCTGTTAGGATTATTTTTATTGATGATGAGAGTCTGTTAAACCCTAATAATACCTGCATGTTATGTGTCAAAACTTGTGTTTTCCCACTATGTTTATTTAATGAGGACAGTTCATATGTCAGGATATACAGTTATGTTCATTATGTAAATAACAGATATTAGGAAATAAAATGGGGGCACATATAGTATGTGATATTTTTACAGTTAGCTTTACTTCAGATGTGAAAACTACACCGAGCATTTCAGCTTGTGTGACTAATAAAACATGAACCTGAAAGTTTTATCCCAAGTTTTAAATCATCTCACTAGGAGCATTGCAATGTGGGGACTTTTTCTTTAGCAGGGACAGACAGAAGCAATCTGAATTGATGGAAAATGAAGATCAGATTAGACACCTGTGGACTTTTAAACATCATATTTACACTGATACCCCTATTTTATTTAGGGGTATAGGAGTAACAGCTAAATACATTTTATAAAAATCAGGAACGCCCTTTACTTGCTCAAGTGTCTATCATATAAAATCAGAGTAAAATTCAAAATTTGTAATTACAAAGTGTAAAACGTATAATAAAAAATCAAATGGTATGGAAGTTTTAATCAGAATTTTCCCTCTAGATAACATGACCATGGCTTGGCTAAAAGTTTTTATTATTGTCATCATCATCACCACCATACCTTGATTTCCTGAGAGTCAGAAGCAGAGTCAGATTTGGCTCCGGAACCCGCACTGGGCTTCTCCTTTTTCCTCTTCTGCTTCTTCTTCTTCCTCTTAGCCCCCAGGTCTCCCCCAGGACTGCTACATACACGGAGACAAGCGCACAGAGGACGTAAATGACACTGCTAGACACAGAGCTAACCTCGGCTACAATAACAGCCACTGACAGCTGAGCTACTTGCTGTTAGCCGACTAACGGTTTGCTCTAAAGGCTGGCTGTCATGTCAGCGAGGCTGCTACAGAAACTACAATAAAAAAAGACTGGAAATGTTTTAGGAAAATATAACACTTTAGACAAGAAAAACAAGAAAAGTATTTTTTTTAATGCCTTGTTCGTTGCTTGGTTGTGTTTTATCAGCTAACATAAACTAGCTAACCGCGCTAGCTTCACACACATATAACCAAAGCTACTCGCTCGGAATAATGTTAGAGCGTTTCTCCCCCCGCACCCGGCGGGACAGGCCACCCTTACCCCTGCAAATGCTCATTCTCCTCCTCATTGTCTCCGTCTATCCCACATGTATCCTGGTCGTCCAGCTCCAGGCTCTGCTGGCTGGCTGCGGACTCACTGTCCTCCGCCATCATCAAGATGCTTTAAAAAAAACTGCCAGCAAGCGTTTTTTTTAGAAGCTCACTTGACAGCAGGCGAGAGATGAGGGGGGAAAAAATAAAAACAAAGAAAATATTGGAGGAAACAGCACCCCCTAATGGACAGGAGAGGTAGAGACAGACGTCCAAGCTCCCAGTTTATGGATTTGCAAAGAATGTGAAATGTGCTAAAAACAAATTCAATACCTCTGCAGTACATAATAGAAATTTTGAAACATTTTAAATTTTGTAATACTCTGTTTCAAGTGCTCTTGGAATTAGTTCTCCTTTTAAGTGCTTTAAGTCCCCAAATTTCTGTTTAATTTGCTTTTGAATTTGTTAAGGCTCTATCGCCTACTAGGGAAAAAACATATATATATATATATATATAGATTATTTTAACAGGGCATTGCTACCTTTTTCAAAGCGTTCACCTATACCCAGTGACAGGTTGTTCAGGATCCATTTTCTGCTGATAAGTGAACCTCTGGCCCGGTTTCAAGTTTCTTTACCCTTTATTAAGCTTCATCCCTTCTTGTCCCTGTTTAAGGCACCCCCATGCATAATTCTGGATAATAATGTTTCAAATATAAGGATGGCATTGGCTGATGGGAAATGTTAGTTTCCAACAAGATGTTGCATACTTACTGTGTAAATTTAGTCTAAAAGGAGAGCCCCCTTAAGATGGAGCCATCTGAAAAGATTCAATTTCAGTCTTATGTAAGCAGAGCAACTCCTTTCTCTGTTAATGTATTTCTCACATAACTTGTTGCAAACTATAAAAACAAAAAAATATAGGTTTTCTTCTGGCTTTTTCAATAAGGCCAGAGTGTACCAAATGGTGAGCACAGCTGGCCTGTCCACAGAATTTGTAAGTACTATGTTTTGGTCAATCAAGTTTAAGGTTGTTACATGACTAAAAGTCAGGTATGCACATTTCTGCACTGTACTTGCACATGAAAAACTCCCATAATGAAACACAAAATCCCAGTTTGGTTGTTTATTTAGAATAATATGCTTAAAATATAAAGCAACCAACCAGTTTACACACTCAGAATTATGTATTGCTGCTTCGTCCATTAACTGGAGGTCATTGTGAGACAACATGAAAAAACATTCATAACACCAACTCACACATGATTTTGACTGAGCAGAGGTACAAACACAGCTATACAGACTCTGTGACTTCTAGGGGCAGATGAATATTGATTGGATTCATGATTTAATAGCCAGACTCAGAAGCCTCACAATAGACAACATATTCAAAAAGAAAAACATGTGAAACAAGCATTCGTTCTAAAAAAAAAAACAAAAAAAAAAAACATCAAACTTCTGTAGGATAGCTTCACATACAATTACGCATAGCTTCATCTTTCCTGAAAAACTGCCTCCACTCATGGAGTGCCTTGCAGCACTACTGTAAAGACCTTTTAGGATTGCAGCAGTTTGCAGACATTTTCTGAGATGTCTGCAGTGTAGCTGTAGTAATATCTGAGTGCTGAGGAAAGCACATTGCATGCTTCCCTTCACAAGCAGGAGAGAAAGAGAAAGGGCTGAGGTAGAGGAGGAAAGCTAAAGGCAAACGAGCAAAAAAAAAAAAAAAAAGTTGCAGAATCGGGTGTTTCAAAGGCACTTGGATTATGAGTGTAAGGAGAGACAAAAACACAGCAGAGTTAGATGGCAAAATATTCTGCAGCGTTTGATTCAGCTCTAACAATAAAGCCAGGTAAAGAGAAAAAGCCCTTGATACATTACAAGAAAAACAAATAAAAAACAGCCCATTTTAAAGGGAAAAATACTTAATATTGGCAATTAAAATCAAATGTACAAAAAGGCATCCAAAGCAGCCATATAAAAGTGATGCATAGCCTCGAAAATAAAAATATGCAAATCAGTGGTTCAGCAAATATATAAAAAAAAACCTTCATAATACCTACTTCACAATTATTAAAGAGTGAAACTACATGGTTTGTAGTGGTAATTTAAACCTTACCAGCAAAAACGCTGTCACATTATCTGATTGGGCCAAGGAGCAGGTAGTCATTTAATTTTAGATCTAAAACATCAGCGCCCACGTTAGTAAGTCTTCTTCATCATATTAAAAGCCATGTAAAATACAGGATTTAAGTGTTTATATTAAGGCTGATGCTGTCGAAGGGTTTAAAGCAGATGCTAGCGATTCCTATTAAACTATACAATTACACGTCCTGATGTGTACATACACTCCAAAGCCATTTAAACCAGTTACCTAAGCTAAAATGGGGTTTTATTCTGACTCTAAATAGGTTCTTCCTGGAATTTTGCCAATATGGCTCAAGAAAAACTGGCTGCTGTGAGCAAGTCATGGATTATTTCCCCCACAGTCCATTTACACAAACAAGGCTCCTTGTATAAAAAAAGGCATACATTTGTTGTGCATAAAATCTTTCATAATTCTTGCCTCCAAAGTCTGTCAGCCGCCCAGTGCTAATTTGGTAGAGGTTTCTACAGGTTTATGAGGGACTTGGATTGTTCTGCATTTAGTGCCCCCCCATGCTGAAACATCTTCTCAGTGCTTTCATAAGAGCAAAAGGTGTTCATTTAAAAAGGATTCATCCTTCACGTTCTTATCCAAGCAGTCGAGGAGCAGTGGTAAAGGGGAGGTTTACATTTTCTGTTTGCCGATAAACCTGTTTTATGCTCACTTTGGATTTTTATCCCGTTCAAACTCACTAGATTATCTTTGTCGAGATCATAGTGTAAAATAAAATAGTCAAAAATTGCTGAATTTCTAACTTCATAACTCCCCTCCTTATTATGTGTCTCAAGGTATACATTCAATACAGGTGCATCTTAGTTAACTCAAAATATCAAATTAGGTCAGTTTAATTCAGCAATTTATTTCATATTATCATATTACTCAAACTCATTTAAGAGTGATAGATTTGAAGTGTTTGTGTGTATAAATATAATCAAATATGGCTTAATGTGGACAGAAAGCCAAAATTCAGTTTCTCAGACGAGTAAAAATACTTAATATAGCAATGCTGACCTATGATGGATAACCGATAATATTTGTCTAACTTGTCCAATACAGAGGTAAGCCCAAAAGATCATTGTCAACAATGACAACTGATTGAAATGAAAACCTTTGTGTAAAAATGTACACAATCAACCATCATTACTGTCCTCAGGATTTTACAGGAAATCCAATCCAAGAATTTGGGCGCCTGTCACGGAGGATTTATTGCACCTGCAAAATCTTTTTGTAGTATTCACTTTTTTTTGAGAAACTGAATTTTGGGTTTTCATCATCTGTAGATTATAATTATCAAAACTGACAGAATGAACACTTCAAATATAAAACTCTGAATACAATGAATCTAATGGAGTTTTTAATGATGTTTCAATTCCCTGAAAGGCACCTGTAAGTGTGAGTTTTAGAACAGAGTTATCACCCTTTAGTCACTGATAAACTACAATCCAGAAATAATTTGAATATATTATGGCTTGTGAGTATTTATAGACGTAAAGCTCCCCTTTAACAGACTTCTGAGACTTATTTAAGGTTGAAAGCCAGCAGGGGTCGCTCCTCCCTTCTCTGCCAAGGACTTTTCTTCTCCTCCTCTCCATCTTCATGTGCTGTATCATCATCTGGGGAGACTGACAGCAGTGCGTGATCAGTCCTGAAAGTCACTCCCTCTGGTGTGGGCAGAGGAGGAGGAGAAGCAGGAGATGTCGGGGAAATCGAGGGCGGTTCCTCTAGTATTTGGACTCCCTCGGCTGGTCTCCCCTCCACGTCTCCTGGTCCCTGATTCTCTTTGTTGCTCTCAACGCCGGGTTTCCCTGCTTCAGGGCTGCCTTTTTCCTCCCCCTCTATATCATCCACGTACACAAGCTGGGTGTAAGATGTGGCAGTCTTTCTCTCTGATGCTCGATGTTCCCGCTCTGCATCTCCTGCCCTGCGCCCAGCTCTGGGCTCATTAAGGTCCACACCAGAGTCCAGACTAGCATCATTGCCATGTCTCCCACTGCCATCATAATCTTGTTGATCTCCAGCGCTCTGTGTATTACTGTGACAGCCCGCCCGCTGGAGGTCGATGTACGAATGGCGGATATGAGCATTGGAGCGTCCATCCAGAGACACAAACCAAGCACGAGGGTGAGGCAGGGGTTTCCCTCCTCTTAGCTCCATTAAAGTCTTTTCAGCCAGCAAGGTGTCCTCTTTGTTTATCTCAACAAGAGACGTTTCCCCCAGAGCAGCAGGGATAGACAGAGACTCTGACAGGCCGAGAGCTTCTGCCTCACCCTGCTTGCTGGGGTCTGGGGTGCTGTCAGAGGGGCTGGGCCCCAGGGGCTGCTGAGAATGTGAAGCATTGAGTTCAGCCTGGATGGTCTCTAAGTCACTTTGCTGGTCTGTCTGCAACAGAAGGGCCTGACCAGACAGCGGGTGCTCACCAGGGAGGCGCATGTAATGTGCCGGGATGACCAGGGTGGGGCGCACTCTGGAGTAGCTTTCTCCTGCACTCAGCAGGTCCACCGAGCCACAGCAGAGCAGCTGGCCTGGTCGAGAGAGTGACTGAGGGTTTGAGCGCTCCAGGTGGTCTACAGAACGAGACAGCAGGTGGTCAGGTGCTCTGCACTCCCCTCCCTCCCCCCTGCACGGGGATCGGGGGGGAGAGGATGGAGAGATACAGTCAATAATACCGACACTGCTCAACTGGGTGACCGACACCTGGCCCTGATTGGATGATGACAGTGCTTCTGACATCTGGTTGCTGGATGAGCAAACGGAGGTGAATGACTGACGGTAGCCCCTCTCTGTCCCACATGACAGTCCAGCCTTCAAAGGAAAAGTCTCTGCTGACTGCCGGTAGTCCCTGCTGCGAAGCGTCAGGCTGCTGAGGGACGAGCCCTGGTGGCTGTTGTTGCAGAGAGAGGAGCGGCTGTGTTTGGCGAGCTGGATTAGGCTCTGCTGCCGCTGATTGTCTTGGGATTCGCACAAAGAGGGCTTCAGCATCGGCGTGGTCATGTCAGGTTCGGTTGCTGTAGAAACAATCTCCAGCTGCACCTGAGCACAACCACATTTTGTCAGTTAGATTTATGGTAGATATTTACACATTGGTGAAACTTTAAATACATTAGTCAAAGCTATCCTGTTACAGCAGCTGCTTTAGTCTCAAAACCAATAATCTTGGGACACAACCCAGATTTTCACCCTCACAGATTTTAATAAGCATGGTTTACTCTGGCTTGTTTAACAACAGACAGACTTATTATCACTATCACACATCTCAGACTGCAGGATTTATGAAACCACCTAAGGCTACATTAAAATGCCAAACACTGGAGGGCAACAGGTTGAGGGGTAAAAACACACCAGTAGGTGGCAGTAATAAAAAAATACTCTCAGAATTATGACACAAATATTTCAGTTTAATTCCTTCATAGATTGAAAGAAATTTTATCCCAAATACTTTTAAGTTCAGCTCAAAGCAAGCGAGTTTTGCAAATAAAAGTTGGATTTGGTTAGTGCCGATTGGGGGATTTTTTTAAATAAATGTTTAAAGTTTGAAATATCCAATTGTTTTATGTAGCATAGTTATTTGGTCATTGATTCAGTTTTAATAGTGGCATTAAAAAAAACATATATATACCACTGCTGTATTAGAAATAGCTCGATTCTAATTGAAAATGTTTAATAAAGATCAAATAAACAATTTTATGTCTGAATATGATTTTTTTTACTTTGTTTGAAAAAATACAAGAACTATTGACTTAAAAAAAAAAAAAGTCACTTTGATGTTTCATGCATTTTGGTCTTAACTCTTCCACACTTATGTGAGTGTCTCCCTCTTTTTTGGCTTTGGTTGTAACCAATCACAATGTAATTAGTTGATATGTTTGTGCTATGCCCAGCGTTTTATATTCATGTTAATCTTGTTTAGTCACTAATAATGCTTTCAAGAAAGAAATAAATTAAAACAGTTGGATCTGATATCAGTTTAAACTACCAGAGTCTAGGTTTGACTGAAACCTGACTGATTGAATTCAACTACTGCAGACTTTCACTGACTTGGAATCAGTGGTAAAAAGACAAAACAAAAAAAACAGGCAGAGTAGTTCGCCTCCATCTTTAGACACACTTTGACATGCAGGACAGAGATGAGTCCCCTTTATAAGATGCCTAAGCCAACTCGAAAAGCACTCTGAGAGCGCAGACCTCCACCAGGCAGTGAACTTCCCCTGATATTGTGATTTAAACCTATAGCTAAAACTCACACATGATCTGAATCTTTTCTGAATTTAAGTGAATTGTTCCTTGGCATTAAGCAAATCTCTGGTAAAAATGACAGACAGACAAAACACACACAAAAACTCTCCTAAAAACATAAGTGGGCGGAGGAAATAAAGAGCCGCTGTCTGAGAAGGAGAGACAGACCTCATTGCTGATGAGGTTCATGTGGGACATGGAGGTTGCTTGATCCTTCTTAGTGTTGTCAAGACCAGTGGAAAGAGTGAACTTTCGATGAGACCCTCGAGGCTTTAAACAGCGACGCCTGCTCAACACAGAGATACAGCAGAGCTCATGAGAACAGCACTGGGGAAAAAACTGCATAAATAAAATAAAGAACAACTAAGTCTTTGAATAGACAGCCATGTTTCTCACAAATGATAGTGAGCAACCAGAATGCCTCCTGTTGGCCAGTAAACACAGATGCATTGAATGATCCATACAAGGGATAACCAAGTGCCATCCCAAACAGCTTTGTGAAAATCATGTGAAGGTGTTTTTAGAGGGGCAATATCCCTCTACTCGTCTAAGCTTAACTTCCTATTTTAATACATGATGTGTGAGTTTGCATGGCACACCCACATAAAAGCAAAATGTTTTCGGGTTTTTTTTTTTTTGCATATACTGCTTGTAATTTTTTTTTTAGTTCATGCATTATATTAATCCAAGGATTCTCAATTCAACAAGTGAGAGATAAGGTTGTGAAATGTTCCCATTTTACCCACCGACAGTAGTACAAGAGCAGGCCCAGCAGGGACAGCAAAATAAAAGCCATGCCTCCAAGTATGGCCAACAGGAACACAGTATGGTAACTGCTGAAGTCCCTGGTCACCATCACACCTGGAAGACAGACAATAAAAAATAGCTCCTAAAATCAAAAACAACTAAAAACAACATTATATTTTGTATAGATGTTTTACCCGAGTGCAGAGGAGACATGACAGCCATCCAATACCCAAGCTGGGGAGCATAGTATTTCAGAATCAGCTGGTTTCCCACCCTCTGTACGTGGCCTAGGCTGCCGTCAATCCAGGCCCCTACATGAGCAAAACCACATTTTTAGAAAAAGAATTTTTTTTCTAAAAAAAAGAACAAAGAATGTCAGAAAATAACTGCAGAGGGAATTGGCGACAAAGTGAAAACAACATGATCTGCAGCAAGTCCCGCCTGACTCCCTAACCGGGTAAAGACAAAGGAGAACTGTTGTAACCTTGTTCAAAAGTCACCACTACTTCTCCGCTACTTTAAGTTTTAGATTATAAAGTTGGAAATGGGCAAAACTATTGAATTTCAAACAGCCTTGTGAACTTGAGATCAGTTGTTGCCTTGCAAAATAGAAAAAAACAAAAAAACTTTTCACCTTTTTTCACAGCATTTGTCCAACCTTCTTTTTAAAAAAAAAGAAAAGAAAAAAATAATAATTTTCCCTGCCCTCAGGTTATATTACGTCAAAATATTAGTGAATAACACTCAGTTGTTGTGACGTTGTATATTTAGTTTAAACTAATTCACATAATTGCCTTATTTTATATTTTTATGCTGTATTTTATTCTTTTACCATGTTTTATTATTTTTAGCTAGGTTCAGAACTTTTTTTTTTAGCTGTAGCTGTTTTAAAGCACTCTACACATAAAGATGATGAATAATGTGATGTGTAAAGATAACGTAAGGCTGCGCCAGTAGGCAGTGCCTGCTGGAGCTTCAGCATCAAAATGTTTCTGGAACTGTTGAAAAAACTTCCACACTGTTTACATTTGATCACTGCTGTACTTTATGGAATAAAGATTCATTTACTGTCTGAAAGCTGTACTGAAGAAATTTTGTTTTGTATATTATCTGTACATGCAAAATTACAATAAAAGTTTTCTAAGTCTACGTTAAATAATGATTATTATTTCTAATCTGATTGTTAACCAACGCAGAATAGAAGTGTCTGCCAGAGCAGAGAATAACTCTAAAAAGGAACAAGTTTGGTCACCAAACCTTTGTCAAAAATTTTTTTTTTGAATAGCCATTCAAAATAAATTAATTTCAAACTTTAATTAAATCATTATGGCAACTTGCTTTTTGTAATACTGACTTTTTTTCCACAGATAATTGGCACAGAGGAGCCAGAATATCTCAGGAATTACAGCTGTTCAACCCAACAGTATATTAGAATTATACTTCTTAACTTCACTTTGCATTTTGCAAAACTAGGCAGCCTTAGCCAAGCATGAAGGATTGCCATCAATGCAATAAGCTGCTATGGATTAAAAAACTTTAAACCAATGTGACTTTTATGATCTGGTTGAGTCTTCTCTGTGAAGGGCCTTGAGATGATATGTGTTATGAATTGGTCCTAAAGTGATAAACTGAACTGAACTGAAAACCTAGTCTGATGAATAATAGTATGGAGATATAGGAAATGGGTCTTTTTACTTGTTTTCTGTTGTAACATAGTCTTATATAAAAAAAAAAAAATGACTACGAGTAATTGTTCCTTTAAGGAAGTCTGTTTACCTTTCTGAGAAAGGAAAAGTTTGCTTATCTGATCCAGCGTTACACTTCACACGAGATCTTTCAAATACTGGTTCTCTCCACTTGTTTTGGGGCTGAAAAGTCAGATCTTCCCAGCTGGACTGAGACAGTGGAATAAAATTCAAAATTCAATCGCTGGACTCTACTGATGCTTTAATAAAGCAACTTGAAATATTCTTTTTAAACAAGCCATTTCAAGAGCTGTTATAAATAACTGAATGTTGCTTCCAACTAAATGTATCCAAAGCAATTTTTTTGAGAAATGTGCCATGCTTACAAAATAAATCCACTAACATTATTTATATTTGACTTAGATTTTAAAGTTTTACTTCTTTAGCTCCAAGAGGCTGCAATATCCAAGCCCCCACAAGGAGGCAGCCTGCAAATACCAGCAGAGCACTGAGGAAAATCACTGAGAACAACTGCATGTCATTACAATAAAACCACTAAAACAGCAAAAGGCACTGATTTATTGGTTTACACTTAGAGGTAACATTCGATGTGGCCGTTGCACTTCTGACCCTATGTGTTTCAGGGCTAATGGAGGATTCCGTTTCTATATTTACACAAACGTAAACAAAAAGTACTCAGGAACTGGCATGGACATTAAAATAAGGAAACTTGAAAGGAAGCGGATGAGTTTTAGAGGGCATAAACCATACAATAAAGGTCAGGGGGGTGAAAATAAACGTGCCAACCCGAGGAAACAAGGTGGATTGACTAAAGGAATGGAATGAGAGATAAGAGAAATGAAAGACAGGATGAAAGAAATGAGAGAGGCTTGTGTGACTCAGCTATTCTCCCTCACTGTGTTCAGGCCTGCTCGAATTCACCGAGGTCCTGTCTGAACTATTTTTCCACTGGGGGACTCGTCAGCATTCGGCTGACCCGTTTAATGGTGACATTTAGTAACTCTGTTCCCACGCTTCCACACAAAGCAGCACTGGAATAAGTAAAATCCTGACCGCTAAAGCTTTGCAAACATTTAGAATGTAAACAACCCCTGCACATTCGCTGTCCCTTTCAAATCGCTCATGCAAAGTCAACACAGCCGGACAGAGATAGTAGCCGGTCGGTCACAAGGGAGCTGCTCCTATTTGCATCAACTCCCCTTTAAGATGAAGGTGTGTCTGTTTGCAGACCGCAGACGCACACAGAGGCAGCAGGTGAACTTGATCTGTTTGTATATAACATCATTTTTGCTCCATGCCAGCTTGACATCCAACAATACAGCAGCTCATCAGTTATACAAGACAAACAGGTTTTGTGTGGGTCGTCCATGTGGGTAATACATAAACAAAACCGCTTCCTTTGTCTGACAGCTTTCATGATACCCCGAAAGCAGTAATGGATTTCAAAATTCCCTCACTGTTGGATGGCATTTATCCTCAGGGTAAGAAGAATTCATACCCCTATATTTCAAGACACCCAAAGTCCAGAAGGGAAATTTATTCAGAGGTGAGTTTACTGGTATGTCTTTTAGTTGATAGGTTGCTAAGAAACGAGATGTGTAGCCAGGAGAGGGGTCTGGGTTTCTGTTGTGGAAATACTCATCAATTTAGGCGTGTGTTTGTCTTCTTAAGGCTCCAATCAAAGCATTCTCAATAAGCCTTGGATGCTGATACCTAAAGTACTTTCAAGATCTGGATTCAAAGGCTCTAAGAAGCTCTGTAGAACCCTGTGATCGTGTTCTACCATGTTTGAAAGTGACCTTAAAAGATTAAACAGTAACTTGTATGGACCCAGTTTAAAAATGCAAGACAATATAAACAAAAAAAAAAAGAAAAAAAGAAAGAACTAAGGATATGGGCGTGAAGTGAAAGGCCTCCAAAACCTTTCACAACTGTAACATTTTGTCACAGTACAACCACTCTAACATATTAAAAAAATGCAAGTTGTTTTTAACCAAAATAAAATGTCAACATTTTTTTACATTAAAAGTATAGAGGATGATCTTCTTTTCCCGGGTGGCTCATCGAAACAAGCGGTACTCCTAATTTAGAAGAGGGCGGGTCTTCTAAAATATTTGTAAAAATGCTCCACAATACTTTTAAATACTTAATATTTTGAACAACCTCGAAAAAGTTATTTTCCTCTATTGCCCTGTTTTTTCCTCAAGCCTAATCTCTTGTTTTCCTCACCTTCTTGAAATAAAACCCTACAACAGTATGATGCTGCCACCACCATTTCTCACAGGATGGATAGTGTGTTTGGGGGGATGTGCACTGTGCTCTCACCACCACAGCATTTTACAAATTCTAAGTAAAATTGTTTTTATAAAAAAAAAAAAAAAAACAATATCTGGCAGTGCATCACTCATTGCATTGGTAAGAGGATCAAACTGATGGTGCACTTACAGCTAGTTGCATCAATGTTATGTTACCAATACTGTTAGGATTTCCTGTTAAACGACTCAAATACCACTAAGACTTGATTAAATAATGCTGCACATCTTCACACACCAGAGACAAGTTGGTCCAAAAGACTGTTTTTTTTTTTGTCCCGCACTGGTGGAGCACAAACACAACGAGAGTCAGAAGAGGTCAGGAAACGTGAGCCCAATGTGGCTACAGAGGAATGTTTTGCAAAGTAAAAGGCTTGGGTAACTTCACTTATGATCCCTTCATTGTCTTTCAAAGCTGCCTGTCCAGGAGAAACTGGGTGTGTCAAACAGTAGAGACATTTTCTGGAAATAAATCAGAAGCTATGCAGGGGCTTTAAGCTTTTTACAACCCAACACTGCCAAGCTTTTTGCTATTGTTTAGTTTAGCTTGAGATTTACCAGAGCTTCAGGAGATTATGCATTCATGGTGCAAACTTGCGAGATCTAAAAGTACTTTGATTTGCAGATTAATGTGGAACTGGGTCTGGGTATTATATGAGTTTATGAATCAAGTTATTCATTCTTCACTCTGACCTGAATGACTGAACAGAAACACCATGCACGTGGTTTTTAATGACACTCATACTGTGGTCATTTAGATAATTTATGCAGCTCCTTTAATCATCATTTGACTTTTTCACAGTTACTCTGTTGTCCTGCAAACTTGAGCTGGATCCCATTTATCACTGATTCTACACCGATGCAATTTTACTGGCAATTTATTTAATGGCACATTTGGCCCTGATTAGTTCAATTTGTAGAGTTTAATCATATGTTTGATTTTTATTAACTATTAGACAATATAATACTATTAGACAATATTATATAAATTATTGACAAAACCAAAAACTATAAGAAAGAACATGACAATGTTTTTACCCCTCAAGCAACACAACAATAATGAATTAAAGTAGTGATGCATTATCCAGAAGAGACTAATTTACCCATTACATTTGAAGATATATTTACATATCTGACAGAGGAAGAACACATATTTATAAAGGTTAGTTTTCTTTTAGTATGTTAACAAAGTCAATTCACTTAGAAAACATAAAAAAAAAAAAAAAAAAAAAAAACTTGGATTAATTGGGATCTGCTCTGAGACCTGATAAAATGCAGCATCTATTTTTCCACAAAGATAAACCTTTTTTTTTTTTAATTGTCAAGTTTTTATAACATTTTGAGCTGTTTTACAATTTGTACGTCTAAAATCACAACTAGACGATCAAATATTCAGAAATAATCTATCACAAACATTAAGCTCAAAGTTTTTTTTATGTGTTAATTCTCAGCTACTTTCATGCTGGGAAACTATTAAAATGTGCAAAACAACTCTTAAACATTGATCTGTTTTGTCCCAGAGAGGTAGACCTGACTGGTCAATTTTAGACTTCCTTTTAAATGTTGACCCAACTACCATAACATCTAATTTGGTTGATCAAAAAAGGGTAGATATATGTGCCTGGAGTATAGTTTACCTATGTGTTAATTAAATAAATCTGCTGGTATGAGTATTCAGTAAATGTGGGCCCTTTTAGCATTCCGACGTCATACATGAATAAAAATTAGCATTAGATTATAAAACCCTTAGACTTTCAGACAGTCTCTCTTGACATCTTAAATTTAAAGTGAACTTGATACCTTTTAGGGTTTATATTATTTTGTAATAATCAGACATATTAAGTCTTAATGTTTCTTGTTTAAATCTGGAATCATTTTTTTAAATAAGTGCCACTGTAATTGAGAGACATTATACTTTTTGATTTTGATAACAGTCATAAATATATTTGACCTTACGGTCCTATATTTCCTTTTACTCTACTTATTTTCTACTCACCTAAGCGAGGATCAAACCTCACAGCAGTGAGGTGATCATTTTCCTTCAAGTTGCTATCAGGCGGCAGGGGAAGGGAGAAGGTGATTGGTCCGTTCACCTGCAGATCTGTTCCATCGCTGGCAAACAGATGTACAGAGATGGCTGCTACAGGGGTCAGCTCAAACTTCTTCTCTGTGCCTGTGAGGATCCATACAAGAGAAGGTAAGAGAAAAATGGTGCAAAAAGGAGAGTGAACGGGAGTAAGGTAACAGTGCAAGGCGGGGGGGTGGAGACAGAGGAGAAAGCACAGTTGTAACAAAACAATAAAAACAAACAGCTAAGATAAAGGAGAGCCAATGAGCCAGACAGGAAACAAAGCACAGAAAAACAGGAAAGAAGGAAACAAGGGTAAAAACTTGGAGACAAGATGTTGAGCGTCACAAAGGGAAAACATGCAAATGCTGCCTGAAGGAAAACATATAAAACAGAGAAATGTGGAGAGCTGCTAAAGCTTACGGAAGACTGGGGACATACACAATTATAGCAAATATGAAGCTGTGGAAGAGACTCCCTGACAGCATGCGGCCATGGGGTTTGTGTTAGAGCAGAGAGCACAAAGGAGTTATTGTGTTTCAGTAGATAAAACAGAAAAGCCTCCAGAGGTAGTCGATGTACCACTACTGACACACCGACTCCCCGGTCCCTTACTACAGCTTTATGCTGCTTGCAGCTGTGATTTCTGTTGCAAAAATGCCTTCTTTAGCCACTCTGTTCTGGACCTTTAGTGTGACCCTGACCTGTACTGTTGCCGCCCAGAATCTGCAGATGAGGAAAGTGCTGGATGTGTGACGAGGAGCTCGCCACAGTGAGCAGAGCAGTCAGGTTTGTGAAGGATGTGTTGGCGGGAAGAGTGAGAGCTCTGCGCAGAAACTGAATGCTGGGCTGGGCTCCTAAACCTTTAAAAGGGAAAAGCAGGTCAGAGAGCAAGGGACGTTTATTTCCATTTAAGTACTTTTTGAATCAACCCGCAAATATAATATTTTAAAGCTTGAGGAAAGTTGATGGTTAAGACTGAGAAATCAATAAACCATAGTCAAGTGTCTCCAATTTCCCCAAATATTATTTCCACGGTGAACAACAAAATGATGCACAGAAAAGTTGGCTGATGACAGAAATCTAGGGCTGTAACAAACAATTATTTATTAAAATAAATTTTATCAATTATTGTGATGTTTAATCGAGTAATCAGACAAAAAAATTCCACATTCTACAGATCGTTCCCTTTTTGCTTAAGCGTCTTCAAAGAGTGATAGTGATACAGGATAAAATACACATAATTTATTTTTTTTTTTTTATAAAAAAAAAAAAAAAACCTAGCTCTGCAGTGCAAATGGTTGCAGCTGGGATTTTTGTTGTAAAAATGCCTTCTTTAGCCACTCTGTTCTGGACCTTTAGTGTGACCCTGACCTGTACTGTTGCCGCCCAGAATCTGCAGATGAGATTATTTATTAAAATAAATTTTATCAATTATTGTGATGTTTAATCGAGTAATCAGACAAAAAAAATTCCACATTCTACAGATCGTTCCCTTTTTGCTTAAGCGTCTTCAAAGAGTGATAGTGATACAGGATAAAATACACATAATTTATTTCTTTTTTTTTTATAAAAACAAAAACCTAGCTCTGCAGTGCAAATGGTTATAAACAGGAAGGTTCACAAAGGTTCTTTGTATATTTGTTCAGTTTTTTTTTTTTTTTGCTTTAAAACACACAGATCTACTTAAATAAACAAACCTTTTCTACGTGCCAGATTTTTAGAGAACCAGAGAACTTACACTTTCTATTCAATTGGTTCTTTGAAAACTAAGAGAAGGCTGCCCGCTTAAAGAAATAAAGCAAAAGGAGCAGCTGGTTATATAAAAGGAATTACTTTTACATAGCAACAGATTTCCTTTTTTTATTTGAATTTTAAAACAGGAAAATATTCAAAGTTATCAGGTCAGATGTATTGTGGTCCAGCCAAGCAGATTTCTCAGTAAAGCTATGCTTTCGTGTACATCTTATGCTGTTCTGTGGAGAATGGGCTACACAAATTTAATAGCGAAACAGCTAAAATGACTTTTTCTCGTAATTTGTATTTTTTAAATATTGTTTTGTTAAACAAAATTGATGGCTGAAGTTATTTACAGTATACAGAATATGGGCTTATGAGCCACATCTGGCGCGGAGGATGCTGGTAGCCTTAAAACACACTACTGATTTAAAAAATACAAATGTTCAAACTCAAGGCCCAATAACATATTGAAGGTTTTTGTTCCTAAAAATTATCTAAAACTCAGCATATCAAACATATTCACCCATTTGCAATCTTAAACTGTGTCAAATAAGAGGGAAAAAAAACTTCCAAAGCCTTCTGGGACACCAGCAGGGGAAGAGATATGCAAAAAGTACAAGATAATAAAGGTCCCCCCCCCCCCCCATGTTTCTGCAAAATGCATCATGTTTTTCATGTCATTACTTTAACCCTACCTTTCAAGTTTTGGTTCAGTTGTGAGTTTTGCACATGGAGACCAGCTCACAGATTCATGCTTCCTTTTTTTTACCCTCTAGAAGCGCTTAAACACCAACCGGCCAGTGAGGGGCATATGAGATGGCATACACAGTCAAAAACACTCCTGACACATTGAATTAAGACCAACCACTATTATGAACGTTGACAAGTAAAGTCCTAAGTAGGTAAAATACACACTTGAAAGATTTTTTTTTTCAAGAAAATCAAAAACAGGTATGAAAGAAAGTTATGGGAGATTGGTTTGCACCTGTTTAGAATTCAAAATGTTGCACTATTTTTTCCAGCATGTTATACGAAGCATCTTTGTTTTCCTCATCTTGGCCTAATGCTTTTTTTATATATTCACTCAGTCATATTTAATGGAAGTGATTCAGGATCGATGCCTTAAAGATAATGCAGACGCCGGCCTTTTCCCTGAACCATCCTGACGCCTTCTTTTGCCATTTCCCTGCAAATTGAACAGTTCCCGACCGCAAATCTGCTGCTTGCCTATACATTTTATGTTTAAAGTAATAATAAGAAAAAAGAGCATGTATCCAGACTTGGCCAGGTGATGTCATTGTGGTCCGACTGTGTTCAGAGCACATTCCTTAGCAATGAGACAGACCTAGCAGCCTGCAAGTGTTCCCAGTTTGACTCTTTCTGGGAGTAGAAGGTCCACTTTCATGTTTTAAAACTTGCTCTTAACAGCAAAGTTTAAAAGGCATTTCTTTGTGTTGCCCGTTTTCTTTTCCCTCCACTTTTTCCCTCATCTCATCTGTTCCTCCCTCTGTTGGACTCTTCACTGCCCATCCCCCTTTCTACCATCTACCACCCACCCTCCCCAAACTGCTCCACCCACCTCCAACAACACATAACACGATTCTTCCTCTCCTCTTTTATTACCTTTATTTGTGCCACACGCCAAGCTTTATTACTCCCCAAGGTGCTGCTACGCCGACACAAAACACTGACACAAAGAGCTGGAAACAGAGCTGGACCACACTTCAGCGTGGTCCCCAGCCTCATGGTTTTTAGGAGGTCTACATCTTAATGGAGCCTGCTGAATATATCCGTCATTTTTTTCTCTCTCTCGCCGTCAGAGACAAAAAGAATGAATTACAAGCCGGCTGGTTACAAATACACAAAAGAGCCAGCAGACAAAGAAACTGAATCAATTCAAATTACTATGACAGCCTTGTCTAATGCAATTACTTCTGAACAAAAAGGGCTAAACTACAAAGACACAATTATGACTCGTCATTGCAAATTGGATTTCTACTTCTAATATTTAAAATATCCATCCACTTTTATTTATAAGAAAGTAGGAGAGAAACTACTTAATGTATTGTTAAAATACTTAAAACCTAAAAAATATGTTCAACGGTGAGTTGCTGACATATTTATGAGTGATTCTTAAATCTAAATTTTTTGGCAGTTTAGTTTTATGGTAGTCTAAAGCAAACAATAAATTACAGGGGAGTGGGAAGATTGTTGGAAAAAAGCTGGTCAAATCTAAAGTTGCACAAGATACTGTAATGTGCTGGATTAACAAAGGCCTGGGTGCAGATCGGGTTTACTGGCCTTTTCATGGAATCAGCTGTGGTTAGATTGCAGAGATGAGCCCTTCTTTAGGTTGCCTCCAGTCAGTCATATTCAACCACACCAGCTTCAGCTGGCCACAAACAACGATAATGTTTCAAACATAATGATGTCAGCTTGTAGAACCGTTGATCTACATCTCACTGGGTGGCTCAGTCCAGTCATTTTCTTATGCAAAAGCAATATGGTGCAAAAATAATAACAAATATTTAATCAACCTTTAGTCCTTTATTTTCATTAATCATTTTTTTCCTGCTGATTAACTTTGTAGTTGCCTGTTTGGCAGAACATGTTTCACTGAATGGAAATAGACTATGAACTATACAAACCCTGTTCTTGACAGATTTCCTTCATTTCATTTCATTTATTGTTTATTTGAAAGGGGACAGTGTACATTAATCAACATTAAAACAATGGAAATATACCAGAGTTAGCTAAGGAGTGCTAATTTTCATCGGTAGTCCCCCAGCCAGGTATAAAAAAGGCAACCTTAAAAATAAACACAAGTATAAAATCACAAATGTGACAAATGTGTATGTACTTTTCCACATCTATCAGATTCAATATTGAAGAGAAGCTGAAAGCTCAAAGGTATTTTTGGATAAAACGAGCAGTAAAGCTTCCCAGTTATCTACCCCAAAAAAAGTTTAAACTAACATCATGTGGCGGAAATTTCCTTTAAGCTGCCAACTTTTTCCAAGTATATTAATAAAGCAGTAAAAGCAAATGGCAGGGTCCCAAAATAACTGGTATTGGTCAAAAGTCTGGCAGTTGCAATAATCAGCAGATAAAAAAAGCCTCTTACTTTACTTCTAAACACCTCACTGAAAACAGATACCAACTTGGATTATTCTCTCAACAGAAAGAGACTTGTTATCAGCTTGAACTGGTTTAGCAAAGGTTTGCTGATCAGAAAAGATCAGATGTAGATTCTGGTGAGGATGAATGTAGGCTAACAAGCTGAAAATTAAGCCAATTTTGGTCACCAATTTCTGAGTGCATCTCTAAAAGCTGGGAGCTGCAAGTGTGAAGTCCTAAATTTCTAACAGAATCGTTAGGACAGTGAACATGTTTGACTCAAAAAACAGTTAAAGACACAGGACTTTTTTACCTTGTTGACTTGACTTAATCTCAACAACATCATCATACACCATTAGGGTAGCAGCACGTTCTGGAAGGAGATCCAGACTGATGGAGGAAAACACTAAAAAAAAAAGGAAGCAGAACAACATGCAGTTGTGTTAAAACTTAGAATATATTCACTGTCTGATGAACAAACAGCAAACTACCTGGACAATTTACTGATCATTATCAGATATTACAAGTCATTAATGTAGCTTTCTACATTTTTAATAGCCCAGCTTTCATCCTGTGTGCAGCAGGACAGACGCCTGACCCAGCAAACTGTACCGCTTTCCACTTCCCTTCCTTCCTTTCACTCCTTCATTGTTCAGAGCTGGTAAGCGTGATAATCCAATTGGCTGCCGTTCTGTTGGCTTGTAATAACCTTCCCCCAAATAAACCCCCTAAAGTCACACTGACACACACAGAGCAGCACAGGCTCCTGGGATTCACTACGAGTGTGTGTGTGCTTACTGAAAGGGCTTAGGAAGACCCCTTGCTGGGTTTTGGCATCTGATATAATAAATTAGTAATGAAGCACTCCACTCATCATAAGCTCACACACCTGACACACACAAGCAGTTTATTTCACGCACAAACTAGTAGAAGTGAAACATAATGAACAGATCCGTTTCTGTGGGGAGAGTTCATTGTCATTTCATGCATTTGCCTTATAAATATCTCTCACTTGTGCACATCTACCTACCCGGTAATTTGGACGGAGTCCAGGGAACCGAGTTTGGCACATATCCCTGTTTGGTTGCGGTGACAACAAGCGGTGTCCCAAGGCTGTAAGGGAACTGCAAGTAGGTGTTGCCATCACTTGATGAGGTTTCCGTGGCTACAGAAGTGTGATTGGCGAAGAGCTGCACGGTGGCTCCAAACAGGGGCTGCTGAGTGCTAGCGTCGCTCAGGTGGACCTTCAGAGTCACATCTGCGAACAGACCAACAAACAGTGTGGTAAGATTATAGCTTTAATTGCGCCTTGCAGCGTATAAAATCTTAATCACAGTGGAAACGGGTGAAAAACACAGTGGTGTTATAATTAAAGCCATCTAAAATACCAGCATGTCATTATCTAGGCTTAGTTTTTGTGCCAGGCGTTTGGCCTCTAATCCACATCCCAGTCTGACCATTTTCTGGGTCCGAGCCAGTGGCACTTCCCCTCCAACACAATGGATCGTTTCCGTCTCTCAAAGAAGCCTTGGACCCGATAGAAAAACACAATCGCCATTATAAACAGCCCTAATGGATAATGGAAGTATGGAGTAGATCACTGTGGCAGTGTAAAGCCTCCATTAATGTTAACATATAAATAGACCTTATTCTATCATTTAAAACTTAAGCTTAATACTTTGCTCTGCAGCAACACAACATAGAGGGCTGATTGCCTAACAAATGTCTACTCTGTAGAGTGATTAAATAATCCAAATGATTTAAATGTCAAAGAAATAAAACGTGTTGGATTATCATATAATTATATTATTATTATATAAGTGTGATGGGAAAAAAAGGAAAGATTTCCTCTTTCTGGATGTTGTGATGTTTGTTAGCTGCCCCACAATTTTAGCAAATTTTGAACTTCGAGCATCTATAAACTACTGGAAGACTATAATCAAAGAAAGTGATGAAAACACCAGATCATTTTCACATTCTATTACGGTAAAACAATATCTATATATATCGTTTCTTGTTTTTAAACATAAACCTAACAACCTTGAAGAATGCAAAATGTAAAACTAAAATGAAAATAGTATCAATTCATTAAGTTAGTTTTACCTATTTAACAGATAAAGTAGTACACTTTGACTTTCATTAGAGTATTCTGCTCTATAAGACACTTTTGCAGATAAGAATGCTGTAAAAACAGGTTGGGTTTAAACTTTATTTTAGCTCAAGATTCTATATTTATTTCCCCCTCAAAAGTATTGTTTTACTCATTAAAATCTAATTGAGAAGCAGATGTTAACACACTGTAACACACTGAAGATAATCCTTTATCATCTAATAAAACAACTACCAGAATTCACTGTTTAGCCACAAGGGAAGATGAGGTTTTTAAATTATATATCTTCGAGAATAATGACTGAATTTTTCTCTACTAACTGGTTTCGCTCTAATTGAGGAAGTTAAAAAATACTTTGTAATTAATCATAATTCTTTGCTCTAATCTAGAGGGACCCTGTGCCTTAACATAACAATTGCCACAGAACTGAAAATAATACCAAAATCAAATGTAAAGTTTTTTTTTTTAGGTTATGTTAAAACTTTGATTTATTCTATTGGGATTTTATGAGTTGAAAACACAAATTATTGCACTGTGAAGGGGGAAAATAACCATACATTACTTTTCCTTTTTTTCTTCTTCATTTTTGAGAAAACTGTAAAGAGTGGTGTGCATTCGTCTTCAGCCTTGTTTGCTCTCTAAAAAAGCAACTAATTAACTTCATTAATCACTATATTAGTAAATACATTCCACCTGTATATAATGTAACTTAAAAATTATTGTCAGTATGATTCTGGTTGTTTAGAGAAGGTCACAGAGGTTTGTTAGAAAGCATTAGCAAATAAATGCCTCATAAAAAAAAAAAAAAGGTGAGGTATCCTAAGATTTTAAAATCTATCACATCTAGGGCTGCAACTAACGATTATTTTGCAAATTGAATAATACCGGTAGTAGTCGGATTCCTAAAAGAACACTTTTTACGAAATCAAACCAGGTAAAACTAAAACTTTTCCACTTTAGGAGTTCTGGATAGAGCATTTTGACAGATGAAAAATATTTTTTGTTATTTTAAATGCAAAATGTTCATATATTTCTTTTAAATTTTGGTATAATTACTGCTATAAGTGGTTTGCTCTGTCAGCTAAAGGCACGTGTTAGAGTCTCTATACTCTAAAACCATACATTCAATTAATAAATATGATGATAACTTCAATAATTGATTAATTATGATTAATCCGATTGTTTCAGCCCTAATCACTGTATTTTTAAAATAGAGCTGTATAGGAGTGGGTACTGATTTTAGCCGAATGAATTCTCTCATATTTTAAGTTCCATATTTTCCTAATATAAAGCACTAGTATAAACTGATAGATTAGGCAAAGATGGCAAACATCAGAAGTGCAGTCAATGTGCCCATGGTAACTCTGGAGGACCTACAGAGATCCACAGCTCAATTGGAAATATCTGTTGACATCTTGGAGTTGCAGTTTAAACACTATGCTTGCAGAAAACTACCACCACCAACAACTGATTGTGAAACATGGTGGCAGTAGCATTAGGATATGGGGATGTTTCTATAAGAAGGGGCATGGAAGAATATGGATGGTTTAAAATACAGAAGAATACTGGAAGAAACATGTCAGAAGCTGAAAAAAATAAATAAAAACTAGAAACTACGCCACAGATTCACCTTTTAGAAGATAGAGACCCTAAACATAGAGCCAGGGCTAATATTGAACCATACCATAAATAAACCACTTCTGAACCAAACCATAAATATTTGATTGGCTTGCACAGTTCAAGTCTATTTCTTGTTAAAAATGATGCAGTACTAAGGCAAAGTTTGATACATTTTATAAGAGCAATTAGCAGAACTTGCCATTTCTAGTTCTACAATGCAGGTACACACCAAAGGAAATTAAATTAATTTAAAAAAAAAAAGCCAAAGGTCCATTTATGCCCACAAACAGGGGATATGATAAAAACAACCATGAAGAAAAACACTGTAAACACACAATGCCACAGATTTCTGGTCCTCTTTACAGACAAGACAGCCAGAACCCTGTCTGACCCATGGTGACCCCTCACTTACAGCTAAAAGGTTTCTCCACTGCTCCGTCTCCACTAAACTGTGCTTGGACTGCTTCTTGAAAACCCCACCCTAAGTGAAACGCATACCTATCCTATCCTTGACTAGACACATTACCCTCCCCCCACTGAGGGATCTCCTGGTCAGGGGGAATCCACTCGGTCGGCATGAAGAGGAGAGTTCAGCCACAGTGCAGGCTCCACCTAACAGTAGTTATCTGCCTGGGATAAATGGGTGGAAGGTAACTGGTGCTTAGTGCAAAGCCAGATTTGGCAGAACAGAGACTCAGTCCTACACTAAACCAACCATTATCCTGCAGCTTGAGTTCTGCTTCAATCTACTTCAATCTATCCCTTCCACTGCAATGCAAGCAGCCCCCCCCCCCCCCCTTTAAAAAACTGAACTGTTCATTGCCTTTTATGACCTCATGTCCTGTCCCACTCCCACAGATATGCTGCTAGGGGTACCAGCTGTGTTCATTTAAAAAAGAAATACTCCTCTGGGAGGGTTGGGCCTAAATCGCAAGAACAAATCCAACAGCCTCCTCCCAGTGCTCATCCAATAAGTCACTACAGAGGTGACATCATGGTTAAACAAGCTAGGAGTCCATGTTCCTTGCTCTAACAAACGTGAGAGGAGGAGGTGATCGGTCTGTTCCGACCCAAGACCCCATATTTCAAACGAGGATCTTAACTCACAGACGTCCTCCAATGTGTGTATGAAAACTAAAGGCATCAAGGCTTTTAATTTAACCAACACCATCTCTGATTAATGATTACCAAAGACAACAGCAAACACAGCTGGGTGATTCTCTGTTTAAAAGAAAGCTGATTCAATGAGAGCAAAATGAGGAGAAAAAAAACTAAAATCAATCTGCAGGTTTACAAATGTAAGGTTTTTGGAGAGCCACTTCTAACTGGGGCTATAAAGAGCTCAGAATGGCTGATATGGGTAGCCTCCACTGGGTTTCTGTCTGTGTGAAATACCTAAATGTTCTTCCAAATAAGGGGAGGAAAGTCAATAGCTTTTTTGCACACTATACATAATGGTGCAGAAAGCAGAAACACTAGAACTCAACAAGCTCATATCTTTTCTGTTGCTAAAAGTTTTATCAATATACATTATTTGATATACAGTATTAGACCATTTTAGTTATATTTTTACAATAAATTAAGTTCTAAAAAAAATTAAACAAAATCAGTTCAAGCTGCAAGCTGTTGCATGTCGGCTGCATTTCAGTTTAATTCATTACACAAATGCAGCGAACAGCAGACTCAAGTGATCAGGATCTGATTTCAGTGTGATCAGCCAACCAGAAATTTCAAAGTCAAACCCAACTTCTTATGGGCAAAGAGGTTGAAAACAATCTTTTGTTGTTTTCAACCTCTCTGTTTAATTAAAATTAAGCTGTAAGCCCCCAAAAACTATCCACAATGTGTCAAGATATATCTTTGATTCATTTGGGCTGCATCAGAGAACCAAACTTTCTGCTGATAACAGGAAGGCTGAACATATTGAACAGAGTATAGAAAAGCTGCAGTTTTGTTTTAGACTTTAATTTAACTGTCATGAAATGTGGCTCTACAGTTAACTAGGGAAAGCATTTATTGTCCAAGAAAATTAACACGATTAAATAGAAAACTAAAACATTTGTTTCCAATAGGAAATTAGGCCTGCTTTTCTCAAAAGACAATCAAATATGTTTAATACACTTGCTGACCAGCTTCATGGATGTTACAACTAGTAAAAGAGCCTCTGCACTCTTTATATGGTTTATAATAGTTGACCACTGACAACTGGAAGGGTAGGAAACAAAAATATATTTCTTTTCTCTTATGCATCCTCTTCTATAGCATTTCTTTCAGAGAAAAGCATAATAGGCTAAAAAGACTCACAGATAAACAACCTTACCATAGCCTTAATACAGTCAACAGAATATTATCGGTTGCTTTTATAAACCTCAAACAAATATAAAATCATATCTTTTAATAGATCTTTAAAATTCTCAGACAACCAACTGCAAAATCAAAATCTAAAACAAAGCGGCATATGTTAAGAAAAATAACCTTTTTAATCACAAATTGCTTGAAAAGTTTTAAATATAATCAGTAAAAGAAAA